TGATATCATACCTTAAACCAACTAGCCCGACATCTTATACCAATAATTTGCGTATACTAACGGCGTAAATTAAATCTCTGTGAACATGCTCGCTCTCCTCTCGACCGGCATCCTAAATTGGACAAATAGTATCCCACATAAGTGTTCCATCTCCCAATCGGCACATTGGCATGCGCGCGGCGACAAAGAAACCCCCCAAACATATATAGATTACATAGTCATATAGATTAAATTGGACAAATACTACGTTGCTCGCCGTGGTGATACATGTAAGAGAAAATGTGTGTACATGTAGGTGACGACTGTTGGAGCTGGCGGGGGTGTCGAAACTCAAGCCGTCAAGGTGCGAATCGCTCACACGCCAGCTGCAATCGAGGGGCTTGAATTGAACCGTGACAATTTCGGCAAACTCGATACGAATGGTTTGGGTTACAACGGTGATTATTACAGTCGTACTGTTATGATAAGGTATCAGTTTGATACTTGCTGATGATGATGAAAAGAACGCGGGCGATCGTGTGTAAGAGAAAGAGAATTTGACCGACGTGACATTTTCTATCGATCGATTCGAGCATGGGTTTTACGCTGTAAGGGAATTATATATCTCTATGAAAGAACAAGCGCGGTGGAGTACTTTATTTTTTACATATAGAAAAGCTTTTGGGAGAATACTTAATATGTACCGATGTATGTATACGGTTTTAGTTTCTGATTTCTAATAAATGCAGTACTATGGTACTGGTCAAGTGAGTAAGCAGAAGGTTTCAGTTTTTCAGAGATGGCAAGAAGAGTCACAAAAGGTTTAAATCCGTCGCTAATACCTTTTTACGGACCGATCAATCTCCGGCGCCGTCAGGATAGATAACAATTGAGCTAATCTCTTTCACAATTTGAGATACACGATTACGTACATCCGATTTTTGCATATGAAATTTAATCTTAACATATGAACTTAAACCCTAGCCTACGTCATAGCTAGCAAAAATATACCTTCATGTATCAAACTTGTTAACAAACAAACTACATAATTCATTTACAAATTCTACAATTAATAACTAAAATCGATTAATTGCAATACAACTAATATTTATCAACGCCAAGAGTAATTATAAATCATTATTTTTATAGATAGAGGTTATTCTGCTAATTACACCCAATTTGTTAGCATGGTTTATGCGTGTCATCCTTGCGCAGGGGACATGCTAATCTTCTCTGTATCGTTTCAATTTTATCGGGTTAATAAAAAATATTTCAGTTTGATAGTTTTTTCTTATTTTTAAATATTGACCACAATTGATGTTGATTTTTAATGGGATGACACACTTGTCGTTTTTAAAAATAATAGGGGGGACACGTGTGTGTCGCTTTATTTATTTCACATCTCATAATAACCACAAGTACCATGAAACACACCATAAGAAACAGACGAGAAACACAACAAACCACACCTCAAATACCATAAATTAGACCAGGAAGATTATCAAGCAGATCATAATTACCTCACCACACCACAAAATTCATAAAGCATACTACAAAACTCAAAATCGAACACAAATTTCTTAAAACAAACCAGAAACCTCATAAAGTATACTACAAGTTCCTTGAAACTCATCAGAAATCCCATAAAGCTAATCACAAGTTTATTAAATTAAGCTCTCGAGTATCCTAAAAAGCATGTTATAATTAAGTTCCCCAAAGCACATCATAACATCATAAAGCTTACCACAAGTTTTTTAAGACATATCAGAAACCTCATAAAACATACCACAAATAACCTGAAGACTAAGTGACCACAAGTTCTTAAAATAAACAAAAAACCTCGTAAAGTCTGCCACAAGTTCCCTTAAGCTTATTAGAAACCTCATAATTATGGTGGTAGGTAATTAAGTCAAGACCCGAAACCAATGCTTCTGTTGTTTAGGCCGAACTCATTAGAAAATTTTACAATACTTTACGTAGGGATGGCTACGGGTTGGCGACGGATAGTGCATATTCGTTACCCTACCCATAGTAGTTCGGGTTTTACCTATATCCACATAAGAGTCGGGTAGAAAATCAAAATCATGTCCATACCCGTTCGGGTTTCAGGTATCCACGGTTATCCATAGATAATAATTTCTCTTTATAACTCCAACCAACATATTAACATTCAAACGTATACTCACTTTACATAAATGAAAAAGTACGATAATAATTAATAGAATGAAGAAAATAATTTAAAAAATAAAAACAACACATTGTCATGAAAATATTATATTTGTATGCTCAATATCAAATATGTTGAGAAAAATAATAATCATTTCTAGACAAAAATACATATGCTTTGTATAATCGGTCGGGTTCGGGTTGGACAGTACGAAAATCATGCCCACTCATTACCTGCAATATTCGAATTCGGGTTTCACCCATACCCACTTAAAATCTTCCAGGTTCGGGTTTTATCCTACCCAATTAGGTGGGATTCGAGTGGGCTGAGGCCCGAAAGGGTGAGGAGTTGGTTAGGTTTTGGGTGTTGGGCTCTCTCTTTCGGTCTTTTTCCGATTTCCGATCCGGTCTCGAACGATTTTTTACCTCAAATCTAATTAAGCCCGAAAACTGGATTGGATTGTTTGCTATCCGGTCCCGGTCGATCTCGCTCCGGATTATATAGTCCGGTTTCGAGTAAAACCAAAAAATCCGGGCCAAATAGTCACCCCTAATCTAAAGTTCATCTAACCCCAATCCGAAACGAAGAACTAGATTTCCGAGAAAAAAATGGCGAATAACATTAACCCAATTGGACAACAAAGAAAAGGGGATTTAACAAAATCTCAATAGTTCAACACAGCACAATGAAATCGTTTGCCTAAACTCTCCATGGTGTGGGGGATTGGCTGAAACCGCGTTATTGGAAACCAACGAAACGGGTTTGTTAATTTGCAATAATAGAGTGATACAAAATGCTATTATTCCCTCTTTTTGTATAATAATGATCATAAGAAACATCAATACTTAAGAGTTTAATAGAAGGACTCAACAAAGGCTTTTACTAAACTAAATTTACATATATAGCTAAATAGTTAGTTCCAATAACTCAAATTTTTTAAGCATGTTAAATTATCTTATAGCAAAAAAGAAAGGGAAAAAAAAAGACCACAACATATATCACCCTAATTAATTTGACGAAAATCACACATATAATTAAGTGTCCATCTTCCGATCGGCATGCAACGACAAATTAAGGAAACCCTAGCTCCAAATATGGATTACATTGTCGTCAGTCAATCAAACACTTTTCCCTGCCGTTGCCCCCAATGGAATGCATTTTAGATACCCTGAACTCATGAATAGAATACACTCACAGAAACGTACATATTGCAAACTCCATCGTCGATCACCTTCCACATCTACTCACGAGTATAAATACATACATGCACATATCCATGTCTGTGAGTACTGATTGGTAATGGAGAAAAGTGTTGTGAGTTTACACTTCACTGAAACGACTTGCCGTTTGGGAAGGCTAGGAATTTGCAGGGGAGAATACATCTGACCACAACATCCATGTCTGCCGCACGTTCTTCTCAACATCTTGTTAGAGTGCGGTATAAAATCCAGTATAACATTTTCCCAACAACTAAAGTTATAGGGACCAAGTGGTATATGATATGGTATCAAAGCTAGTTTGATCAAGTGGTCATGTGTTCGAATCTCCACGACCCCCAATATTAACAGTTGATTAAGGCCACAAGGTATGGTGTGTGTTTGAATCTCAACGAGCGTGTTAGAGTGTGGTATAAGATCCAGCATAACCTTCTCCCAACAATTCGAGTTATTGGGACCACTTATCACTTGTGACAATCCCAGGTAATTGTCATAAACGTTTAGACAACTCATCACTTAGTACGAAATCGTCACTAAAGTTTGATTTTGCAGGTTCCAATAAAATGAACTATTTGTCGAAGCTATGACTTAATTATGATGGTATCAGAGCTGGATTGACCTAGTGATCGTGTGTTCGAATCCCCATGACCCCCAATATTAACCGTTGATTAAAGCACTAGGTATGGTGGGCCTGTGCAAACTTCAAGCTCGTGAGTTGACTTTCGTTTGAGGGGGCGTGTTAGAGTGTGGTATAAGATCCAGCATAACCTTCTCTCAACAACTCGAGTTATTGGGACCACTTATCACTTGTGACAATCCCGAGTAATTGTCATAAACGTTTAGACAACTCATCACTTAGTATGAAATCGTCACTAAAGCTTGATTTTGCAGGTTTCAATAAAATGATCTATTTGTCGAAGCTATGACTTAATTATGATGGTATATAACATTGGCAATATATACATTACAATAAACTTGATATTTTGTACGCTATGGTTTCAATAATTCGAATTGTTGGGAAATGCTCAATTATGGATCTTATATAAGTTAGCTCATACGAGCTTGAAAGTTGCACATGAACACCATGTGTTTAACAAATAATAAGGGTTTTCAAAATTCGAACACAAGACATCAAGATCACCTGGCGAGGCCAAAAATTTTATATATATATAGAGGTGTCCTCTTTCAAAATCCAAATTAACAATTAAATAATTCGTAAATAACAAAATATCTAACTAATACAAATTACTACAATAGTCCACTACATGTTCTCCGAAAAAGTTTTAAAATACACTCGTTGAAAAAGTTTCGTAATTGGGTTTAATTATTAGATTTTGAAAATAATTGGGGAAAGGAATAACATTTTTATTGTTAGACTTGTGTTTAAAATACAACAATAAATGGGTTGTTGCCTAATGAAAAGAAAAAACATGTTTACCAATAATAATAGTGTCCTACGTTCAAATCACCCATTTATATATTTTATTTTTTTACGAACACGTGAACTACTATCGGAATTGAATAATCATTTTTTTTTTCAAATTTTAGTGGTGTACCTTAGATTGGATACCATATCAATGATATCATAAACCATCTGATTCCACTAACTCGAATTGTTGAGAGATATTCGATTAGAAGGGTGTAAATACCGTCACTCGATTGGACAAATAATTAATATCCCACATCAGTGTCCACCTTCCAATCCGCATATTGGCATGCGACGACAAAGAAGCCCCCAAACATAGATTACATTTTGTCAATCGAAACCGTTGCCACCAAATGGAATGCATACCAGATACCCTGAACTCCGAATAGAATACACTCACAGAAACGTGCACATTCCAAACTAGGGATGGCAACAAAACCCGAACCCACGGGTACCCACCCGACCCAATCCGGTCAACGCGGGTAAAATCCGTGTTGACGGGTTTTGGGCCGGGTTTGGGTTTAAACCCGTTCACTATTCACCGGGTTGGGTTGGGTTTGGGTTTAGGTAAACCCGGCCCGTGGGTACCCGCCCACTCATATAATTAATTTATTCGGTATATTTAATATTCTAAACAACTATTCTTATTTATGTTTGTGGAGACATGTCTAATTTTTTCTTTTTAATTGTGTAGAATGAAGTTGATGTTATGGAGTGGAGACTAAAGAAACTTAATTGAAAAAAAGAAGCTTTCAATTAAACATGTTATTTATGGATAATTTGTGATTTGCTTCAATTTTCATGAGCTTTCTAGATTGGTGTTGAACAATTTGCATAGTTAATTTGTGATTTGTTTGAATTTTCCTAGAATGGTGTTTTATATATGGATAATTTATATTGAGAGATTGATATTTGACTTTAATTTTGATAAGAACTTGTAATTGTAAATTTTTTTACGACAAAACCCGTGGGTACCCATGAATCCGCGGATACCCAACGGGTTGGGTTGGGTTTGAGTTTTTCAAACCCGGTGGGTTTTACCCCGGGTTTTTTTCAAAGATAAACCCATGGGTTTGGGTTTGGGTTTGGCAAAACCCGACCCAACCCGACCCATTGCCATCCCTATTCCAAACTCCATCGTCAACCTCCGCATCTACGTACGAGTATAAATACGTACATATACATCCATGTTTGTTGTGGCCACATCAACCCATCCTTTCCCATTATCTACTTTCCTACAATTCACAAAGGAAAAGAGAGAAGAAAACAAGTTGATGATGGAGAGGTTAACTACGAAAGTAGCAATATTAAAAGTAGTTAGGGCTGGCTATTTGGTCTGGATTTTTTGGTTTTACTCGAAATTTGGCCATATAATCCGGACCGGAACTGGATATTAAACAATCCAATCTAATCTTTGGGCTTAGATTTGAGGTAAAAAAACCGTTCGTGACCGGATCGAAAACTGGATAAAGACCGGATAAGAGAGCTCAACACTCAAAACTTAAGGGTAATTTGCATAAACGGTCACCTTTGCACTTAGTACAAAACTTAACCAACTCCTCACCCTTTCAGGCCTTAGGCCACTCAAATCCCCACAAGCTCAATATAAAATCAAGACCAAATTGGGACCGGATCGGGTCAAGACCGGACTGTATCCAATCCAATCTTTGGTCCTTATATTTTCAAAAAGACCGGACAGGACCGGAAAATTTGGGCCAAATTAACCGGAACGTATAGCCACCCCTAATAGTAGTGGTGGTTGTACATGTGTTGAATGCTGGACTGTCTTCCGGCCAGTACTGCGGGATAGGAGACGACGGGATCTGGAGAATGTGCGGCACCGGCATGATCTGCTGTATGAAATATGAATTAGATATAAATCCAGTCTGCAAGAGTAGATTTAGCCGAGATTGTAGTTGAACTATGTCTATGTGGATGCCTTGAAATCCAGGTCTACTACATCAACTTTGACTAATACCAATTTTAGCTTTAAGCACAGAAGAAACAGTAGATAGTAATCCCAGGGAACATAAAGAGGTTCCTTGGTCAACTGCAATATAAACACGCTTCCCTCCTTCCATCCTACTTTTGTACTTCTACCATTTACATGGTTAGCTATTTCCCAGAGGAAAACTGCAGAGCCTCGTACCCTCTACTCGGCATTGTGGGACTGGTCGCGCTCCACGAAATCTATGGCATCGTCCTTGGACACGACGTTCACCCGGCTCACTCTGTTCTTATGTGTCACCCCATATATCTTGTCAGCAACTTTCACCAGCTCCGGCCTGAATGTCGTCGTTATGAATTGGGTGCTTGCCATGTCAGCCAGCCGGCGTATCATATCTGACGGATTAATCAAGGATCGCCACTTCATAATGAAAAAGAAACGGCCTAACAGCAAATTTGATGGAAGTAATGAAAAAATGGAGCATTTCATTAAGTACTGTGCACGCGGAATCAATGAGTGAAGACCAAAGGAAAAGGATACTTCCAACCGCTGTTCGGTACTGGGGATCAAGTGCCGCATCGATCTCATCGAAAAGATAGAAAGGAGCAGGGTCACAACGCTGTATAGCGAAGATCAATGTCATAGCAACGACCGTTTTCTGGCCCCCGGACAACTGCTTCATCGACTGTGTCTCTCCTTGCCCTGTGAAAGAAACCTATACAGCAAAACCCCAATCAGTTCATTACAAATTTACAAAAGCCGTGCTCGTTGCTAGTAGCAATAATCATGCATAGAATATAGCCTATAAACTAGCTGCTACCAACTCTTCGTTCCAGAACTGCACAAAAGGTGAAACGATATTTGCATAGTAAATAAAGATTGGCAATACATACCTTTACTTTCACACCAATGTATTTCTCTACTCTGCCTTCCAAATCAGCTGCACGAGGCCCATCATCTTCGTCGTCGTCATCCTCTTGATCACCGTCCTATGTAAGTAGTTGATATAAGAAATTCAAAAGCAAGTTATAGTCGCTATAAATCCAAGCATAGACTTCAACCATTGCAAGCAGAATGCATTTGGGATTAGCAAATCAGAAAACACTAATTGAGAAAAAGTTATAGAGCCAAACATCAGTACAAAGAGGCAAAATTAGAGCAAGGCATTAGTAAACTTCATTCAGTCACCTAGCCTTTGAGGGGGGTGGGGTGTAACCAAATCATATCCAGCACTTCAGCAATTCGAAGAATCCAAATTTTGATGAACTGAAAATTGTCTACACAAACCTTCTTCTTCATCATAACCAGATGGCCATGACCCCCTTGGACAAGTTCAGAAAACACTTCTCGAAAATGCCTAGCAACACCTTTGAAAGTACGCTCTATAGATTCATCCTTCCGCTGATCCAGAACTGTTATCAGCTCTTTGATTTTCTGCATCAGTACATGAAGTCCATCAAATCATAACCATTCTTATACAAACAGCAAATGAATCACCACATATGTTACTGATGAAGTTTGTGAAGTATTACCTCATCACCTGCATCTAGTTCAGCTTGCCTTTTCTGAAGTTCTTCTCGTTGCTCCCAGAAATTGACATATTGATCTAGTGCCTTCTTGTTTACATGACTAAACTTTTGTAGTTCCTCATTGCATCTATGGAGGATTCTCTGCAACTCTTTGATATTCTTTCGCTTATGCCTAAAGTACATACCATGAAAAGGAGCAGGTCAATCTAATGGAACAAGTCCTAAAAACAATGCTCACAGCAGAGGCGCATCAGAGAATGAGCAATTTAGGATTTCCAACTTCTACAATCAGCAAGAGCAGCTGCTTAGCCATTTGAAGCAGTAGAAGAAATAAAGTATTGGAGGAAGAAAAAACACTTTGAAGGTAGCATCCCAGATATTTTCAACACGTAAACAATTATGACAATTGCAACAGCCTAATACTCTGCTCCAAAATGAATTTGAAGAATCTAAACAGAATTTTTTCACGAGCCAAGAAACTGAAAAGGTGAAATCAAATAAAACATACACACGCCCAATAATGCTGTATCACATGAACAAAGAAAAAAGTTCGAGAGTGAAGTAATACGTGTCAAAAGCATCAGATGAAAGTGGACCCAATTCCCTAATTTTGTTGGAGTACTCCTCTTGCTTAGCAAGAAGTACATTTCTTTTACTCAGTAGCTGCTCCAGTTCCTTAGCTTCTTCCTGGAGTGTCCTCTCATAGGTTTCTTCTGATGTCTGAAATTGAGAAATTTTAGCTAGAGTGACACCACCAGCCTAACAGTCAAAAACACTACAAGTAGCTTACCTGCAATTTTATCTTTTCATCTTTTATCTTCTTCAGCTGCTTCTTTATGTCATTTATGGTGGCAGAAACTCCTGAAAACGCCATTAGGAATTAATTAAAACCTTCTGCTAATACCTAAATTGATAAGTGAAAATGCAGAAAAGAAGGAACACTCACTTTTGAGCTCCTCTTTCGCAGCATCCACCAGTGATTCAGCTTCCTCTAATTCCTGTGCCTTCAATGCAGCATCGGTATTCAACGCATCATCTTCTGGAGAGGATAAAATGGCTTCCAGTTCTTGTTTTCTCCTTTTGAGGTTAGTGGTAAGATTAGTCTCCAACTCTGCCTTTCTCGTTTCAGTCTACAAGTTGAATATACAAATATGTAATGCAAACAAATAAAACTGCCACATTATTGACTCGCTAAGCTTGAATGTTCAAACCTCAACACGTTCTGCTCGACACCTGATGAGCTCCTGCTTTAAATCACTTATTTCGGGGTTCAGACGCGATAGAAGGTTTTTTTCCTCTGGCGTTAGGTGGTCAATGAGTTCTGTGCCCATTTCATCCTGTTTCACAGCCATACTGGCTCTAAGCTGCTCTATTTGGTTCCTTACATCCGCAATCGATTTTTCCTACATGCAGCAGTGTCAAAATGGTAAAAGCCACAACAAAGAAAATGCTTTTCCAAAAAGGACCCGAACAACTCCAATAAAAAAATACAAGAATAACCCAAATGTAGAACTGTACCTTCTTGTCCAGAGCTTTAGAATACAATTCCTTTTGCTTATTGGCGTTAGCAATATCCTGCTTCAGCTGCTCCAATTTTGTTTTATCATGTCCCTGCTCAGCATCAATTTTCTGCTGCTCTGTTACCAGCTCTGTGATTTTCCGCTCTACACGTGAGACTAATTAAGTAAAACCATGACATATCACGCAGGATGGAGAACGTAAAGTTTATCAGTCATATTTGTGTCTAGAGGTCAGCTTAATCTATCTGAGAAGAGTTTTTGCACTTAAATAATGTCCATCTTTCATGTATATGCATGCAGAAATACAAGCCAACTCTTCATATCAAGAAGAAAGCTGCTCAATTAATGAACACGAGGGTGAAAGGAGGCAACCTTCTCAACCATGCAGGAATGACTAGATCAAGATTTGAATAGGAGAGATCTCCCTAGATTTCACTTGTTTTTTTCCCCCTCAAGGGCTTAAGGGAAGGAGACGGCTCCCTAGATTTTCTATCCTAGCCGAAATGTTTTTCCAGTGCAGAGAAAAATGGTAGTGATAGACTGTGATAGCGCAAAGCCCTGCATTAAATCACATTACTGAAGACACTTTTGGTGCTAGGTCACAAGATATAATGCATAGTCAGCGCATAAATCCCAGAGGGAATTAAGACAGCAAGACAAAGGATATCTTCAAGCGTAGCTTTGACATCTTTCAGGTCTTTCTCTTTCGCTTGTATCGAATTCTGATTCTGGATGATAGCATTCATGAACCTCAATTTTGAGCGGCGGTGGTCGTAAAATCCACCAGTCATACCACCTTTCTTACTTACTTGATCACCTGATGAGAAATTGCGGGTTTTTAGGCAACATAATGGAACTGCATGGGGGGTGGGGGCAGACTAGTGCTAAAACTGAATGACAATTGATGACCCAATCCAACTAGTTCAAACTTTGAGGCCAGCATTCAACTATCAGAAACAATAACATGTTAAATATATGCATCAAGATAATACTGAACGAATGGAAACAAAAATTTAAAAAATCAGACCTTCCAATGTTATGCAGTCCAGACCATCAGTCCTAGCAATCCTTGTGGCAACATCCAAATCTCGGCATATCACTGTTCTACCAAATACCTACAAGAAGATATAGCAATCTAAGCTTACAAAACAACCTGACAGGAACCAGAAATTCATAGACGACACAAGCATAGCCTTTTTCAACCATGAGTAATCAACCTCATGGAAACAAGCATATGTTCGAGTTTGCTACACCTCATTAGCTCCTGTACTAGACAGAAGTAACGTAAATAGGGGGGAAATAATACTGTTAACCCAGAGCTAGAATATGCATTTTAATTCCTAAAAAAAGAAACTGGAGCTAGAATATGCAAATTCCATTCGTCTTCGTCCAACATAAACAGTAAAACATGACTCATAATTGCTACACAGCTCAAGGTATGATGAGATTGCAGGCCATGCAGAGCCCATTTATCTTAACTTCTAAATCACAATGGAGAAATAGGAAAATATTCTTATTGGCTTTACTTTGATATAGTTGTTGGAACTGCTTTAAGCAAAAGAATATTTCAACGGGGTGGACGGAAGTAGGCAAAAGTTTCTACTAAGTTGCATATGAAATCTCACAGTATATTAAGAGGGATACAGAAGTGATCAATAGTGGGTCGTTTGGATGGCCATTAGAGTCATTTCCAAATGTCTATGGGAGGTACAAGCATTTAATTCATTCGAGTCATTTCGTAATGTCCAAGGGAGGTGCACACATTTTGAAATGTCTGTTTTTTGCAAATGAGACATTTAACCAAATGTCTACATTTGCACTTTGCCCAATCCAAATGACCCATAGGTACGTTGTGAAAAAGAGTTTTCCTCATCATACATGTCCTTTTGCTACAGGCATTCCATGCAGCAATATAGAAGTGCATAAAAAAGCAAAGAGAGGAAAAAAGATCGCATGGCACTTCGGCCACAAAAAACATCAGGTGACACTTCTCTTATTTTGAATACTGAAGTGACAGTATTATTCCTTGATCAATAAGGTGCAGCTGTCGCTAACCTGTTGAAATGCAGGGTCGAAACTTTCCTTGAACTTCAACTTCTTTTTTAGGGCTACCACATCATCAGAATTTGTTGGGTAGTTCACCCTTGGAGCCTTAATCCTATTCAGAGGTATAAACGTAACTCGTCCACCCTTCTGAGCATTAAGCTGTCTGATTATTTGGGTTGACACTCCATCATCCTTAACGACCACATGAAAAAGGCTGCTCAATAAACAACACAAATTCAAGAGCATCATTGATAGAACAATAGAACTACATAGATCAGAAGACCGACAAGTATCTTTTAAGTAAACCACAGACCAAAGCGCACTATAACTCGAAGCTGGGAAGAGAAAAAGAAATGAAGAGGACCGTGGGGTGGAGGTGGAGAGGTAATTGAAAGTGCAGACTTGCTATACCTATTTCCAGCAGTAACTTCCACAGCTGTAAAGAACTTTTCATCACAATCAAGCAACTCGATAATTGGCCCAAAAACCCCTGTGATATTATGTTCTCTACAGATACGCCGCATAGAATTAAGTCCTCGCCTAACATCCTGAGATCACAGCAGAAAAGAGGCATCACAAAAAATGACATGTCAGATACCAACTAAATTGTCTTTTGCGATAAATTATTCAACAGGTTTTGTATCAATTACATACAAGAAAGAAAAACTACTGCGACAGATATCACTGGCAGATGCCAAACCTAGCAGTATGGCAGGCATTTTTATCTAGCAAAATGAAGGTTTAGGTCTCACTCAAACGTCTGAAAATTCTTTGCCGGGCTTCAGATAGAAAAATAAGTCTTTTTTAGTTGCAGCAAAGCTGTTTCAAGAGTGCACAAGCCACAGAGTGTATAATTAACTCAGACAGAATGGATTTCAAATCAACAAGTGTGATCAACTATTGGCCTGCAAAGAGAAAGCGAGCATGGTTCGTAAACTGTCTAACATAAACCAGAGAAAGGCTCTCACACAACATCGAGGACAGGAGAAATAGGTTCCAGTATTAGACGAGAAACAGTTCTCTAACTTAATAGAAACTGTCATGACAATTTGAAGCCCTGATCAAATAGTACAGAACGGACTTCAGATCCTTCTTCAACAGAAAACTGAAATTATTAACAGTAACTGAGTTCGTTTTCAGGAGAAGACCTATAAACTGGTACACACAGGATTAGGATCTCCGTTTGTTCACAGTAAAAGGACTGAGATATTCTGAAAACCTCAAAATGAATACTCACACCAGGAGTCGCATGATCAAGACTCTTCTTTGCTTTCTCAAGTTCTGTCTTCAGCTTATCAATTTCAGCATCAAGGGCATTTTCCTTTCCCCACAATGCCCTGGAAAGTTCAAACATGTCACAAGCCTTCAAACAATTTCAAGAAGCCTGACAAGAACAGCAAAAAATGGAAGAAAAAGCATACTTTCGCTCATCATGCAGCTTATCTCTCTGATCTTTATGGTTACTGAATCCTTTTCGTGACTGAGAAATATGAGACTGAATTTTTTCAATGTCAGCCTTGCGATCCGTAATGTATGCATCTTGAGTTGCTAAGTCCACATTGAGTTTATTAATTTCCTGCTGAAGCTTTTTCTCCTGCAAGTGTAAATGACACGAGCATAGAAAAGATGGATGAGAATTTCCATGCGGAGGGATTAAGATGATGGCAGCATAAGATGTAATCGTTTAAGATGATCCCCAACCAATAAAAGTGAACATCAGTTCCACTGGCAGTTGCACAAAACCAAAGTACACAAGCATATGGCTCTTGCAGGTCTTACTATTTGTATCGCTATTACGAACAGATCTCTTCAGAAAGAAAAATTGAATCACAAACTAATTTGGAGTTCTTTCTCAAATACAACCAGAACATACTAACCAAATCTAGCATCTGAAGCCATAAAATCCAACTGGAAGTCTTTCCTAAAGTAGCACTGGCACACACGACTCCCAAAAGACCCAAAAACAAACTAAGTTTCAGTTCATCGAAATTTACAGTGAGGTCGCAAATGGAACCAAGAGCAATGGGCACACCCAGTAGAACACCACAAGAAAAGTGCATAAGAAAAAAATAACATGCCTGAGCCAAATTTGAAGAAAGGACCCGTTGCAGGTCCTCAATTTCCTTCTGAAGCCATTTGTCACGATCAGCTTTGGAGGCAAATTGTGTAGCTCGACCTTGCTTCTGATAAAGTATGCTAAGCTGCTTCTCACGATCCATTATTCTAAACCAACCAACGATAGCAATTAGTGACCCATTGTGAAAAATTGCATGAAGCTTGGATAGTTGTAGTATTAGAGGACAGTATCAAAAAGAAAATCGGAAAGAAAGAAGTATACACAACCACTTTGCTATTAGCGAAAGTCTGGATAGTTGAACAGCTAAGTAAGAAAGACCATAATTGCAGCCAAGCAACAAACAACAAGAAAATGTATGCTAAACCATACCCTTTTGTAATCTCCTTTTCTTTTTGAACTTGTTCCTCGTATGATGGGCTAATTTTTTCAAGCTCCTTCACCGAATCTTGAATTTCTTTTTCAACACTTTTCAGCTGGCGCCCCGCATCGTCCTGCAAAAAGCATATAGTGCCTTGATGAAAAAATGTGGTTTATCCTCCATCCAATTAGGGAAAAGAAAACATCAAAATGGTACTTTGGCTTGGTTAGCTCCTGACATCCTCTCTTGCATATCTTTCACATCAAGCTGAAGCTCTGTCAGTTTCTTTATTGCTTGACTGTGTTGCTTCTCCACAGCCTCTCTCTCTTTATTCAATCCTTGAAGTTCTTTCGTGAGATCCTTCATTTGTGTGTCCAAGTCCTTAGACTTTTCATGGGCATCCAACACATTGTAATGCATCTTGGCTGAAGTTTCTGATACCCTGTTTCGAGCGTCCTCAACCTGAACCCCCAAAAAAGAAAATGAACTGACGCAGAAAGCTGATAACATGAGAAATATATTTTAGGATGCTGTTTTAGGTGGTCAACACTCAACACTGATTTTCCAGCATGCAAAACAAATGTAGCTGAAATGAAAAGGGCAATGAAAAATCCAGCAGGTGGCAGTAACCTTTCCAGAAAGTGGAATCATAATAGTTTCCAGTTCAGTAACATCAACATGACATGAACTGCCCTTCAGTAAGTTAAATTTTAAAATGACACTTATGAAATCCCAATTTAGGGAAACTTCTGTGGGCAGCATGTAACTCGAACAACGGTTACTTTATAAGCACCTTAAAGTATAAGTCGTAAGTTAAAGGATGCAGGTTAACTCCACGACAAGTAACCTTTTGCACTGTAGAAAAAGTGAGAAGTACGACAGCAAAACCAAATTCCCACTGTTAAAACACCACCAAACAAACAAAAAATGCTTCATGTTTCAATAAATTATATCAAGTGTTTCCATGGCCAAATGATCTAAAATCTGTGAAAACAAAAAGATCTCCACTGCATAAATGGTCTACCATCCCTTTCAGATCCTATGCAAAAATTAACAGGTGACAGTTGTTTTTTTCTTTTGTGATGGTTAACAGAGGTGCAAGGTTATTGGTCTTGTATACCAACAAAAAATTATGGCAATGCATAGGTTGGGGGGACGATATGAGCACTTGAAGAAATTTGCAGAAGCAGATATTGCAATTTACAGCTATCCGTTTAACCACATAACCTTGTGAGCCATATACAAACCACACCTTCGTGCATGGAAAAATGGTACTGACCTCTTTCAATTTCTGCCGAGCATCCTGGAGTTCTTTATCATAAATTGTGTACTCAAGAGATTTACGCTGCTTATCAAGCTGTTGATACTTCCTCAGCTCATCTTTCTCTGCATCCAGTTCCTTCAGTCTCTCGTCCAAGTATTGAACAACTTGCACTATCTGCTTCCTTTTATTTCCTGAATATTGAACCTCAACATAAGAAATCTTTGAAAAGGCACAAGAAACAACTAACTAAACTCGCACTTGCCTGTTTCTTGCATTAATTTCAAACTTTCACGACGTCTCTCTTCGTATACTCGTGTTCCACCGATTTCTTTCAATAAATCCAGACGCTCAGAATCTTTCATTAATGTTAACGATGCAATCTGTAAAATTCCACCAGAAGAAAGAGATGTAACATTAGAGGGAAGGAAAGCTAGATAAATAGGAAATTCAAAATGAAGGTTAAGACAATTCTACAAATATCACACAAACCTTTCCTTGCTGCACTACATAATACGGGTTTGAGCGAGAGAAACCAGCACTTTCCAACAAATTCATAACTTCAGTTTTCCTAGCAATATGCATCTACAAACGTTAGACGACATTGCCACAGATGAATAGAACTTCCAATATAAACAAAGTAATAATATACACTCACGTAATATGTTTTCCATCCAGGAAATACTCATCTTTTTTTGAACTAATTGTTCTACGCAGACGCACTTCCTCCTTATCCACCTGTTTAAGGATAAACATACTTATCATTACAAAAGTGAAAAAGTATAAGGATCATAGCTATCGAACAGTGCCCTTCAGCGGAAACAGCCAATTCTTATTCATCAAGATGCTTGACAACACATGATAGTTATGAAAATTAAATCTTTCTACATAGTAACATCAGATTCAGTTACGGTGGTGGGAATAAATATTGAATTATGATAATATCACCATGGATGCACATAGCTGGAAATTGTTCAAGTAGCAACTATTGGCAGCACTACATATTACAGCTTGAAGATGTATATACCTACAAACCAACACTTAGAATATATGGGATGAAAACACGGCCCAGAACTCTAGAAATTTATGCTCCTGACTACCCCTTATGTGGGACTCTAAATCATGAAGGAGGAAAAAATATTCTAAGACCATATTTCAAGACATATTCTTACAGGGAAAACTGAAATACCAACTTTCCCGTGAAGACTAACACTCAAAAACCAGAAGCTGTTAATCAGACCTTGCTTGTTTTGACCTCCAGGTTACGATCAATGAAACTGAATAAGATGGTTTCAATATGATTGCACGAGTTTTCTAAATTCAACTAGGATGCATACAGTGTAAACAGCCCACTAACACAGTTCTTTGCAGCTGGAAAATACAAGGACATTTATTTGAGATTCTTATCCTTAATCTCCTTTAAGCACGGACAGTATGCAAAAGCCACTATTTCAAAGAACTAACCTAATTTATCCCTAATTCAGTAAAGATTTTTATTCAACTCCTTACAAGCCAAAGAAACAAAGCCCACATTTCTCATAGATGTTATAGTCTACCTTCCACCACACAAACCTTGCCTCATGGTGAAACAGCTTTCTCAACATAGAGCAGAAAGTAGAAGCAATGACAAAAACTCCCAAGGCAAGACAAACAAATAGAAGGGCTTATTTGATAAGATTTACATCACCGAGATCATCACGCCACAACACACCAACCTAATAAGAAACTGAAAACCAAGCAACAAGTCTTGTAGACTAAAAAGCATTACCGGGATGCGATTATCTGAATTATCGAAAACAATCTCCACAAAGGCAGATAACACTTGGTGTCCAGCACCTTCCTGTTATAAAAAGAAAATTAAGCTTAAACGAAGCTGCTTAAGAAAGAAGTTGTATTGATAGATTGGAATGCAAACAATATATTAAGAAACATACATGCAGTAGAGTGTGCCTATCTTCACTTCGCAGGTTTTGAAAGAGGTCACTTAGCACAAAACGAATCGCTACAAAAGGAAAATAAGATTTAAAGGGGAGGAACCGATAAGCGAATAATATTAATGCATAAATACTTTTCAAACCAATGATACAATTAACAAGCAATTATATCAATGTAAGTATTAGCTAACCATGGAAAAAGTTCGATTTTCCAGATCCATTAGCGCCCACTGCAGGGAAAGTTGCAACAGTTAATAGAAATCACTATAAAATCTTGACATTCCAATTTGTGCATGAACCGCAGATATAAAGAGTAAGTCACAAGATAACCCAGATAATGAATCGAGAGAATCTCATTAAAATATTTAATAGTTGAGCATACAAACATGATGAAGTTTCTGAGCTTATCCTTCAGAAATGATCCTAAACTACTTTTAAAAGTAGGGGAAGGCATTTTTTGCATGAGAACTGGGGGAAGGTTTTATGAGTGCATAGCATTTCCAGAACTTCACATGGCGAATCTACATAGTCAGACTGCAAAATCTATAACAAAGTGAAGATATCACAACTGCTAATTGAAGATCAAATAAACAAACATTCGAACTTTTTTTAATGAATAAACATTCAAACTTAAACTTGAAGAAGTTATAATAATCTTTCAAGTACAGAGAAGATAAATTCCAACAGGCAGAAAGTTGTACCCTATTCAGTTTCATCCAACATTTGACAGAGTATCTTATACTAGTCAGAATACCCAGAACTGGAAAAAAAATTGGAGATGGTCATATAGATTCTGAGGGAAATCAAATTTACCAACACAGTTGACTTTTGGACTGAAAGTCTCGGTGGCTACTTGCTCCCGGTAACTCTTAAACCCTTCAATGATTACCTGCATTTGGATTCCCATGAATGGATTTGACTTTAAGAACTGCTGAAGACAAAATATAAGCAAAAAGGAAAACCAAGCCTGAAATACCTGTTTTATATACATGTTGAGACTAGAATCTCATCCAGCTCTGTAAAAAGATACAGAAGGGTTAGGTATTAGGAGCAACATCAGCAGTATCACAAAGCCAACAGATAAGATTTGAATTCTCCATGTCATGGAATCCAGAACAAATAAGACCCTAGCAACTACACCCTGTTATTCCTTGCAATTTACACATCAGAAGAACTTCATAGTTAAGCAAGAACTCAGAAGCTAACGACGCTCTCAAGGTGATTCGTGAATTTCCTGTTGCGCACGTAAGAACTCTACGACGCTTATTCGCAAGAGGAGCAGGCATCCCAACGGGGCTATAATACCTCTATCCACTACGCAGACCTTCCATCAAAGCGAAATCAACAACCAACAAACTCTGCTAACGAATTCATGCCAAGCGACCAAGCCCAAGGGATTCGTTACCCTAATAAACAAAACGGCTCTTCTTATGGTGCAGGAGAAGAGGAAATGAAACCTAGCTACCGGGGAGACTCCTCGTACCGAATGGACCACCGGGAAAACACAAGCAGAACCGAGAACAGCAAACGAAAAGGAAATCTACAAGATAATTGAACTGATACGAGGGCTCAAGCGACGACTTCGGGCGGAAAGAGGAGAAAAAAAGAAGTCGCCGGAGATGAGTGCCCACCGGTTTCGTCTCTGCTTCAGGTGCGCTGCGCTCCGGCCGGAGGAGAGTTTCTGGAAGAGGATTCTGACTTGAGTGTAGAAATGGGAAGGACTGAGTCTGACTCGTCCGAAAACCTTTTTACTTCAGCTCGTTTCTGTTTTTCTTCTCTGTTCTTTGCTTTTCTATTTTGGGTGAATGGATCTCCTGTGGTGCGCAGGTTAAGCGTTGGGCTTCGCTATGTGGACGTTAGCGCCACGGGAAACAGGCATTTTGGAGGCAAACTGAAATTATGGGCGGTAAAGACCGAAAATGGATTTTTCATGTTTGTTTAAAGTGGGAGGGAGAGTCTCACTAAAATGCGCTCCTAAAGCGTGCTAAGCAAGACGAGGTACCGATTTCTGATGGTTATGGATGGGAGTTTGAAAAATTTTTAATTTATGATTGATTTGTTGTATTTTATATTTGAAATATAACATTGTATATTTAGTTGATTTTTTTATCATGGATTTAGTTGATTTGGTATTTGGTCTAAAAAAATTGTCTTTCATAACAAAATATCAAATGAAATGTGGTAGTTGCAAATACGTGGGTACCATGGGTTTTGACTTTTGAGCTAAAAAATTTGTCCAAATTTTTGGGCCCAATGGATTTGCATATCTTTACAAACAATGTTATTGTCAAAAAAACACAATGATTGGTATTTGGGAACCAATTTCAACATCCAAATCGTATTAGGAAGCGTTTGGATAGTTGTATTTCTATGTAAAGTATTTGAAACACATTATTTTTAAAATGCATGCATTTGAAATACTAGCATTAGATACTCATTTGTAATTTCTTTGTATTTTAAATTTCATGATCTTTTCTTTTAATTTGACTATTGTGGTCACTTATTATAAATTTTAGTAAATTACAATTTGATACCCAAATTTATTTTTTCTTGGAATTTAGTGCCTAAACTTTTTAAATTTTACAAAAAGGTTCATAAATTGTGTTGGTAAAATTATATTTGGGTGCCTTTATATGTTTTGCCTCACACTATAGTACCTAAACTTTTAATATTTTACATATAGGTCCAATCTTTTGTTAGGCGGTATTTCAAATCACTAGTTGTTGAAATGTATTTGAAGTTGACAAGTAATACACTATACATGTATTTGGAAATCACTCCATGAATTTGGCACAAATCCAAATACCAAATGTAATTAATATCCAAACACATGATTTGACATTTAGAAATCCAAACCACAAATACCAAATACAAACCATTCTATCCAAACACGCCCTTAGGAAACAACACCTAAATCATTTTCATCATATGGTTCCGCAACCCGTATTTATATTTGTGGTTTTCGGGCACCCGTGTCTGTGTGTAATAGCCGCCTCGTACATCAAACATTATTATATCTAAATTTTTACACGTAAATTTTCAATTATAACACTAAACGGACCAACTATATCAGGAAGTCAAAAAAGATACAGTCATTCTTAATTCGGTTAGCATTTGGTCTTAAAACATCCATTAATTCACAAGATAGAGTACAATATTTTCAAATCATTATTCTCTTCTTTGATGATTCTATTAATTAATAACTAAAGGAGAAAAGTGAAAGAATATATGTTGTAATTTGACTCCTCGTGGGGTGGATATGGGTATGGGTATAGGACGAGGATGCTAAACTCATACCCACCACATACCCATCAAAAGTTTTGCGAGTTTTACCTATACAACCATATATGTTCTATACATAGTCAATGCGGAGATTCATCACGTTGACTAGGTCGAGAACAATTGTGTACCAGTGACCCTGTATTTTATTGTTAAATTATTAACATTAATTGAATTATGTGTACGTGATAAAAAAATCATATCAATTTGGCGGAGTGTGTTTCAACATGTCATCCACATAGTATATTTAAACCTTTTTATTTTTTGTAGTTCCACTTAAGGTTGGGAAAATATACCACACCATTTGAAATTTTGTTATCAATCGGGCGTGATGGTTTGGTCTGTACCATATCATTCAAATAGTTTGGTTCATTCCATGGTATGTATTATGAAATGTTTTGTTCTATTGGTCAAATCTGGTACACACCATGGTTTATTGGGCAAGCTCGTGCACTCAACTTACTTTTCGATTCAGGTTAGTAACCCACTAGAGTGTTGTGTCACTAGACCTACAAATACCGCACTCTACCATAAGGTAGAAACAAGTTACTACTTATATTTCATGGAAATGTGATATTTCATACAAATACCACATAGCAAATAACAAGTTTTGTTATATGTGATACTTGTATGTTAGTTGATCTCAAGTAAAAAATTTGACAAATGCCACATACAAACGACCCATGCAAGTATTTAATTATAAAAGAAATCACCACGAGATTCTAAGTATGGGAAGGATAGAAGGGGGGAATATGTAATTAATATGGGCAATTATCTCAGGAGGTGGCATTTTATCGTTCAAAAATGCCTTTACCCTAATCCCATCTATCAATAAAAAAAAGGAAACAAGATTGATCTAATGGTACTAAAAAGGTTGTGAAAATGACATAAAAAAAGGTTAACTATGTCTCATCCCGAAATAATATGATATTCAACACTTATCATATAGTGGATGTTTAATGTTTTGGAGGGGGGGGAATTTAAGGGCACTTGAATCAAGTATTGTCAAGTATTGAAGGAAATACAACTGAGACTACTAAGAAAGCGAGAACCCTGAATTTCTCTAATTTGGAGGGATTAGATGCTGAGAAAAACAATAACAAAACAATTGATGGCGATGTGGCGGAGCCTGCCCAGGAACAGGCTCGCCCAGCTCAATGAGTTATTTGAGCTATAATTGTCGGGGTTTGGGGAGTCCCCTGGCAATTAAGAGGCTGGATCGACTGATCCAAAGAGAAAACCCCAAAGTAGTGTTCTTAATGGAAACCAAAAAGAAAGAGAATGAATGGCAGGAAGTGGTAGATAAGTTCCAAGGATACAAGGGTACTGGTGTGGGATCTAGAGGAAGAGCAGGTGGCCTGCTAGTTCTATGGCATGAGGATATCAAAGTGGAAGTTAAAGAAAGGGACACAAACTACATTGACATGAAAGTTGAGGAAGATGGGAAGGTTTGGCGCTTTACTGGTGTCTATGGTTGGTCTGAACAGGGAAAGAAGCATAAAAAGTGGGAGCTACTAAGGTATCTAAGTACTCTAACATATTTGCCTTGGCTGTGTGGAGGAGATTTCAATCTCATCCAACATTATGCAGAGAAGAGAGGAAAACAAAAAGCAAGTGGGTATGAGATGGATGGCTTCAATAAAGCCCTTGAGGATTGTCAACTTGAGGATTTAGGCTACTATGGCAAACCATACACGTGGGATAACAACCACAAAGACGAGACTTTCCTGGAGGAGAGGTTGGATAGAATGGTAGCAACTGAATCGTGGAAGCGTCTATATCCTGATGCTGGGGTCTACCACCTCAGTAGGAATGGCAATGGGGCAGGTCCGGGGCGGGTTTCTTGGTACCCAGACCCGCCCCGTGGCAGGGCGGGTCCAGGTCGGGTAATTGATCACGGGTCGCGGGTCGGGGCAGGTCGACCCAATGAGTATGCAATTTATTTGAAAAATATTAGAAATATTCGTTATTTTTATTATAAAACTAAGAAAATAAACAATATTATGACAATTGTAGTAAAATTATTGGAGAAATTGAGGTTTTCACTAATTTACAACTTTATTATAGCTAAAATATGATGCGATAAAAGTAAAATTCAAACTAATTTGACTAAGATTGCATGTAATTTAGACAAGAACGGGTCGAGAATGGGGCGGGTCGGGTCGATGAGACTACCCATGCCCGCCCCAAAACAGGTCAAACAGGTCGGGTAAAACGGGTCAGGTCGAAATTGCCATCCCTACACCTCAGAAGGTGTGGATCAGATCATAACCCTATTCTGTTGAAAACGAATGTTTTGGTGGAGGACATAAAATGGGGTCATTACTTTAAATTCGAGGCCTACTGGCAAGATCATGAGGGCTGTAAGCAGGTAATTAAAGAGGGATGGGAAGAAGCAGGGCAGAGCTCGATTATGGGGAGGATCTGAAGATGTGAGGAAAGATTGCGCAGTTGGAGTAAACAGACGTTTGGGAGCTTGAAAGCTCGACGAAACAAAGCAGAGAAGGCCTTGGAAAAGATAGACAGAATGTGCAAGAATGAGGCAATATTAGCACAACGTCGAGTGCTTGAGAATGAGTTAGAAGATATACTGCTCCAGGAAGAATTGATCTAGAAACAAAGGTCCAGAAATGATTGGCTCAAACATGGGGATAAAAATACCAAATTTAAGGGCTTCAGACCGAAGAGCCAAGAATATGATCAAAAAGCTCAGGGATGAAAATGGAAGGGTCTGTACAGACCAAGAGGATATTACGCGGTGTATTGTTAATTTCTACAAGAAGTTATACACCTCTGACTCAAGAACAGGATCAGGTGAAGTGATTGAAGCTGTTCCACAGAAGGTTACAGCAGCCATGAATGATGAATTGTTGAAACCTTTTACTAGGGAGGAAATATGGGAGGCATTAAAGGTGACAGGGCCTCTTAAAGCCCCTGGAGCAGATGGAATGCCTGCTCTTTTCTTCCAAAAGAACTGGGACATTCTGGGTGAAACTATTACTGTAGAGCTGCAGAGTTATTTGGAAGCAAGTAGTTTCCCTCAGGAACTGAATCACACACTAATGTGAAAAGGTTAAAGCTATCTTGAACTTGTATGAAGCTGAATCGGGGCAGCAGGTAAATCTTCATAAATCTGAACTATCGTTCAGCCCTAATGTGAGACAGGAGAAGAGGAGAGAACTAGCAGAGGTGCTCAACATGAAAGCAGTGGCATACCACCAAAAATACCTAGGCCTCCCTACATTGCTAGGTCGGTCAAAGAAACAGGCTTTTGGTTACTTGGTTAACCGAGTTAGAGCAAAGGTTAAAACATGGAAAGGCAAGCTACTATCAGTAGCAGGGAAAGAGGTTTTGATCAAGGCTGTGGCACAGGCACAAATGACATATGCTATGTCAGTGTTCCAGATTCCACCTAGTATCCTCAAAGAGGTAAAACGAGCAGTGGCACAATTTTGGTGGGGACAGCAGGAGGAGGAAGGAAGGACACACTGGATAAGTTGGAAGGAACTTCGCAAACTGAAGAAAATGGGAGGAATGAGTTTTAAAAACCTTCAAAGTTTCAATCTAGCCCTGCTTGGTAAGCAGCTTTGGCGTGTCATTTAGAACCCTGATACCCTAGTAGCAAGGGTCCTAAAAGCAAAGTATTATGAGGATCGAAATCCTCTGGAAGCAGAAATTGGAAGAAACCCGAGCTGGATCTGGAGGGGTTTATTGGCAGCGAAGGAGTTGGTGAAACGGGGAATGAGATGGAGAGTTGGTAATGGCACCAAAATTGATATCTGGTTGGATAAATGGGTGCCATCGAGCACAACTCAGAAAGTAACATCCCCAGTCGCAAACTGGGATGTTTCGACCTCAGTAGCTGAATTAATTGATTTGGAAGGGAGGAGCTGGCGCACAGATGTGCTCCAGAGGCATTTCAATCCTAGGGATCGCATAAACATACAGAAGATTCCCATCCCCAGGCAACCTACTGAAGATAAGTTAATTTGGGGAGTGGAAAAGACAGGGAAATACACAGTGAAATCAACATACAGACTGTGGGAAAGCAGAAATGAAGAAGAATTGGGGGAAGTCTACTTGCCAGTAAATTGGAAAAGGTTCTGGAGCCTAGGGATCCCTCCTAAAGTTTGGATCTTTGCTTGGAGATGGCTAAGGAATATAATCCCCACGGGTGCTAGGATATATGATCGCATGCAAAAAGGAAGTGAACAATGCCCCTTCTGTGGCCTCAGAGAAACGCAAAACCATATCTTTCGAGAATGTGACTGAGTTCGAAGGGTTTGGAGAACTAGCCCTATGGATCCATACATAGCAAGGGGGAAGATCTTACCTCGGAAGAATGGTACTGTGAGCTCCAAGAGTCGGAATCTGACGAAATGCTGGGCGAATTCCTTGTGGCGCTTTGGTACATCTGGGACCAACGCAACTGCCATTTGTGGAACAAAAAGAAGTTAGAAGAGTGGGAAATTTTGCCCAGGGCGAGCAATTGGCTGAAGGATTACCTGGGGAAACAGTCAAGCCCTCGATCGACGGCAAGGAATGAGGTACAAGGAGGGAAGCCACCACAGTCGGCTCCGGTGAAGATAAATGTTGACGCAGCTTGTATATCGGATCGAGGAACGGGGTGGGGGCAGTAATCAGAGACGGAGAAGGGAGGTTTTTGTTCGCTGGAGTTCGACGATCCAGAACCCAATGGAACCCTAAGGAAGCAGAGGCCATGGCGATCGGATTTGGTCTGGATTTGGTGAGAAGGTTTGAGATACTGGAGGTGGAAATGGAATCGGATTGCCAAGGCATAATTCAACAACTCCGAAGGGAAGAAGACAGGGAGACTGAGAGCGGCTTGATCTGTGCTGAACTACGGGCCGAAGCCCAAACCCTGAACCATGTTCAGTGGAATTTTGTGGGCCGAAAGTTTAATGGACCAGCCCATCTGATGGCCCATGTTGAATGTGATTGGGAGAGTGAGGAGATATGGGTGGATAACCCACCTCAATTTCTTGTACCCTTCTTAGGGAGGACATGGGAGGAAACTCCAATTTTGCTTTGTAATTAATTAATACAGTTTCCATTAAAAAAAAGTATTGAATGAATTAGATGACAGAGAGTTATTTTAGAGCAAAGAAAGACCATACCAAAGTAAGAAAAATTTAAATTTGGTTAAAGTGTTTAAGGTAAGTTTTAACTTTTTGTTTAATAGAGATAGCTTGTACTACCAAGGAAATATATGCATAACATTCACAACTCCAATTGGAGCCAAGGGCAAAAATTAAAACTGTGTACATCTAAGGAAGACAGAGTGAGAGCCTTCATAGTCATTTTATGAGCTACTATATTGTTCTGTCTACCAACAAAATGTATCGAAAATTCAGGGTGAGCGTGGACCAAAGTATTGACTTTGTGGTATATGGCATCACACATCAAATCGGTCAAACATGCCATGTTCACCTTGTCCACGACTCCCTGGCATCACCAACCATGCGCGCCAAAGTGAGGCCCTTGCCAATACACCGATGGATTCCTTCCCTCAGTGCCACCAACTCCACCAGCGGGGATTGTGATCACCCTCACCAGACTGCAAAACCACCTCCACAACTGCATGGGACTCCCCACAAATGGCCCATCAAAAGAACTGATCAACCCCTACCCTAGACCTAAGTCCACCCCAACACAACGAGAAATCTAGACCACCCCGAACTACGGGCCTTCCAAACACGCCACAACAGGTAGGACACCATTAGATGAAGAAGCAAAGTGCAAAACATGCTATGAAGGAGTATCACAAATTTAAGCATTTTCAGACCAACCGTCAGCGATTAAAGAGTCAACGTATCCCAAAGGGTTTCAACCACCTATCACAGATAAAAAGAGATAAAGGTCAATTTTTAATGTCAAAAGTAAAAAAAATTAACGTCAAAATGTGGCACAACTTATTTTTTGACAAGCATGTGATAAATCTTTGACAATCTAAATCAATTATTGTATCTTCGTCATTGATGACATCATATTCCACGACAATTTTTTTGTGTCCAAATTTAAAAATACATAAAAATCTCTTTTTAATTAATTATTACTACCTATATAAAAATAATGAACAAATATCAAATTAAAATGATGAAATTTATACTAAACTAGATTATGAACCAAAGTGAATTTTTACACTTTGATATTCTAGCACTTCTTATTGAAGCAAAATTCATTTTGGCACGACTACAACGTCAAATCTTACCCCAAAATTTAAAACTTTTTGATTTAGTTTGATATTACCTATGTTTGGCCCGACTTTTAGAAGTGTTTTTTGGTTTCAAAAGTTGAAGCAGGGCCAAAGCCAAACACCTCTAAAAGCTCGGCTTTTGAAAAGTTGAAAAACACTTTTGTATAACATAAAAGCAATTTGGAGATTCTGCGAAAAGCTGTTTTGAAAATACAAGATAATCCTTACCATATTTTAATTTTATTTCACAAAATATAAAATTTATTCATTTATATTATTTTAAAGATAAAATAAATTATAAAATCATATTATTTAATATAAAAGAAATCTAACAAAATCTATTTTGACTATTTTTTATTGTTAAAATTTTTTATTTATATTTTATATTATAAGTACTTTATAGTCATTTTACACAATCTCTTATATTAAAAAACACTTTTAATAGTTTTACGGCCAAACACTCAACTGATTTTTTTGAAAAGTACTTATCTAAAACCTTCAACTAGAAACCGATTCTGAAAAACTACGGTAGAGCCAAACTAATCTCAACCATTAAATAAATGCAAATTGTATTATTTACAAACTTACCACCGATCCGACGATAGAGATCACAACCCCACAATCCAACGGTATTAGTTCTTGCTACAATGTTTGTTTTAGGCAAATTCACCACAGAGAGGAGAGCTCACAGCAAGCAGCAGCAGCAGAATCACCGGACCATAAACAAAGCACAAAACCCCATTTCTTCTCTTTTGAAGACGTCCCCTTGCTTCAATTGCCCATAGTTGAAAAAACCCTAAAAATAAAAATCCGTCAATTCTTCCCTAGTTCGAATTATATCTCCTCTGCACATCTGCTCATTCGTTCCCTTGTCTTGGAAGCCTTTATTTTATTTGGGAACTGGGTACACGCCGTAACCGCCCACGGTCTTACCTTTTTTCCTCCTGAATCCTGATCATGGGTTTGGCTAATCCCTGCGGAAAAGCTTGCTCTCCCTGCTCAAGATACTAGCTTTCTAGGTTTCCCCCCGTCATTTGAAGCTGGACCCAAGTTCGTATCTGTCAACTCTGAGCCTCTATCATCCCTCAATGATCTAGACCGCTTCTTTCTTCAGCAACAGTTGGGGGTGCGGGGCCGCGGCGCAATGTCGGATGATATGTTGATACATTTCTCTTCGAACTCTTCGAATCAATCGGACCAGTCCCTGCCGACGAAAATGGCCAAGCTGGAAGCTCGCTTGGTCGGCAAGGCTCCTTCTGCTGCCCCAGCTGCGTCGCAGCAACCTCAACAGCAGCAGCCCACTTGGCAATCGTTACCTCTCGGGGCAAAATTTGGGCCCGCGGAGGAATTGGCAGGTTCCAGTGATTCCGATGAAGATGTAAGCTTTTGCATTCTGGTATATCAATTGGTTTATCGATCGAACTTAAATGACTGTGGTTATTTGGTCTGATTGTTGCGGAGCAGTCTGTCCGGTGTTGGAATTGAAAATTCAAACCCGAATTTCGTAGTTTACCTTTGAAATTTTGTGTGAAAGTCATTGTTAGCTGGAATTATCGTGATCAGAACCAATAGGACTGTGTCAAGTCTTTCATTACATTGTGGGTGCTTGGCTTGGTCTATTTGAATGAGCTGGCGTATGAATTATGTCTTCAGTTGAGATTTCCTGCATCTAGGTCATGAAATGTGCGTAAAAGGTTTGGTAGATTGATTGGGGTATCTTGACATTGGCACTAGCCTTTAGATACCCATTAAAAATCCACCATTCTTCATGTTAGCTTCATCCATTTTTATTAATGTTTGATGCTCGCTTGTATTGGTGGAATGGTAAATGCTTTGATTAACAGCTGGTGGTCTTACGGTACTGAATATGGCCATGAGTGAAAGTTGTTGCTGTTTGTTGGTCAATGAACAGTTGCTAGGCACATTAGACTGAAGGTGGGTTTATAGAATTCACTCAGGATAAACATGACTGCTATTAACTCGCCTGTTTTTCTTTGACGAATCAAGTGGAAATGTGGAATCTTCATAATCTTTTCCATGATTATGGTGCCCAGTAATGTGTTGATACAAAACATTCTTCTGAAATAGAGACTGTTCAAACAAATTGGCGGTGGCTTATATTGGCGGATTAGTGGTAGGAGCAGTTAATCTGCATGATGGCTGTTGAATGTGTAGTCATGAACTCAAGCACGTACGGAATTATGGATGCGTTTACGTACTATATACCAGGAAGTTTCTCGTGAGGATTGATGGTTCAAAATTTGTTTTCTTTTTCACTTTTGGTAATAATTTTATACATGCATCTTTCATATTACACATCTGATTTATGTTAAGGTTTCATTTCGATCTTTATATTTATAGTATAGGGCATAGTTTTGGGCTTGACCTTTCTCATATGTGCAGAATCAAGGTGAGTTTCTGATACAAGCAAACACACAGAAAAGGCAAAGACTGCAAGAAGATGGTGATTCATCTGTTTCGGCACATCTTGCGGTAAACTACTGAATTTATTTGGAAGTGTGGATTGGCATAATTTTTCATTTTGGTGAAAAAGGAAATAACTTTAAAAGTTTGGGCCGCGTAAATAATGAACCACATCACTTTGTTTGCATAGTTATTTAATATCTGGTGCCATTTTTAAGTCATGTTTCCCCATGAAGGATTTTAGGTTTACTTCAGGAGTTAATAGCATGATTCCTTTTTGTTAACTCCATCAAATTATTAAGTTATAGCCAATTACTATTGCTGATGTTTGGTTAAATATTTTTCTGGTCCTTCTGAGTTTTCTTTTGCAAATCATTTTATCCATATGAAGAATCAAACAACTGACGGAAGGCAAAAAGTTGGCGAAAATTTGGAGATGAAAGCTACTGTTGAAGTACAGAAGAGAAAGCAAGGTCGCAGTAGGGGCAATTCGGTGTCAAGTAGAGCTCGTGGTTCCAGAGTTGCTGATCAAACAAAATCACAAGTTCCCGCTTCAACAGTTATCCCTTCGGTTATAAATGGCCAGCTTGAAAATTGTCAAAAGGTATGTTTTCCACAAACTTGGAAATCTACTTTCCTTAGGGTCTTCAATGCTATCATGACCAGTTTATAGTTATTGAGATTGCTTTCAAGGGTAACCCGTGTCTGATTGTAGAACTGCTGTTTTAAAATTTTATATAATTCTATGAGGTGAAATGCAGCATCAATAGGATTAAGGTTGACATAGTGGGCGTTTCTCATTCTTTCACTTAGTAAATAACAATTAGGAACACCAAACTATTTACTTCATATACATTTTTCTTGATTTTTGTGTATCCTTAGATAGTTAGATGACACATTTTTCTAGTTCTTTTTGCTGTCAACTCCGATTGATGTTAGTATAGGCCATTTGAATAAGCACTGAATGCATAGGTCATTGCAACAATCATTGGTGTACATGTATAATGTTCCGTGTGTTCATTTTCCAGGATCAGAGGCCCAAAGAGCACTTCCTGAACAATGATCATTCTTTGTTACAGGTATTAACTTTCTTTTATATCAAACTTGTTTGAGAATTACGTTTCCCTTGCCTATAGTTGACTACTCATGTGCTTATATAATGTGGTAGAGCATTCACTTCACTGAGCAAGCTGTTTTGATTCGAGGAAAGGGTTTCATATCCTAAGTCAGAAGCTGTACCATATTTTGCTTCTATGCAGTTGTATTCTTATTTTTGCTAATTTGAATCAGGAGGAGATCACATCATTACGTGCCACAGTTGCAGCTCTAGAGGAGGAGCTTCATAAATCTCGTCAGCATGCCAATGATAGTCAAAATCTTTGCCATCAGCTGGAAAAGGTAGGTATTTGGCCTAATGTTAGAGCTTTTAATTTTCTTTGAACCCCTTCTAATCTTGATATCTGTTGTCAGGAACTAAAGGAACTAAAAGACAGCGAACAGCAAATGAAGCCAAAGGTTTGTTTCCACTTTGCTAAAACAATTCCGAAGTAACACTTCATGCGGTACTTCGTTTTATTCTTGTGGCTCAGAAGAAACAAATAATGCAAACGCTAAGATCAGTACAATCACTTAGGTACATGATTGATGGTATCTATATCCTAGCATACAAGTTGTTATTGTGTACACAATACACTGAATCCGATGTCGACATTTCCTTTAAATGTAATTGTTTCCTTGACTGCAGCATATTTATATTGAGGATCGAGACTAACAATTTTATCATAGTATAATTCTTTTTCAATAGTGAAAACTAGTTTTTCTGATCTACCTGATAGCAGTTATTTTTTTCATGGAATTCCTATTTTCCTGTTGAATGGATGTGGCTGTTTTTCTTTGATCATTAACCTGCAGTGTCAGCATACCTGATAATGTTCATTCTAATGTTCGTGGCATCCATTTGCAGAGATTAAAGATTATATCTGATCTGCTGATATCAGTTTCGAAAGCAGAGAGGCAAGAAGCCAGGATGAAAGTCCGGCAAGATTCTTTAAGACTTGGCAATGTTGGTGTAATTAGGTAAATTTTTCTTCTTCGTGATTGGAGCTACTTGTCTTATAAATCTTTGGTTCTTTTTCCATGTGTCTGGGTGACATAAGGTGAAAGATAGAAAATGCAATATCACAAAGGTTGCTAAGAAACTGAAGGAATGATCTCCTGAAATGTTCTTAAACTGTTTTCTGTTTGTTCTTATTAGTTTCTGAGTAACTTATTTGAAGTTTGTTTCCCCTCTTTTCTTATGTGTTTCAGAACTGGAACAATCATATCAGAGACTTGGGAGGATGGACAAATGCTGAAAGATCTAAATGCTCATATGGTAAGTTATCATATGGCATTTCTATTTCAGCCTCTTCCAGACAGAAATAAAACTATTAGACATTTCTCATGTCATTTTAATATGAGATAGCAAGGCAGGAGTTATAAATATGATGTCATGTGGACTATGGTGATTTGCGTTGAACTATTTGCTTTAAGATGCTATCTGGATCCTATGGTCTTAGAGAGGATCACTTTTTAAAAGTGTTTTTTGGAATTGTTATGGCTCCTTACTTCCTGCTGTCCTTTTCTCCTCTCTCTCAACTATGGTTAAGTTGACAGCTTATTTTGACTTGACCTCATCTTTCCCTTTATAAATAAATGTCATACACGTGATTGTAAGTAAAGCATTATTAGGCTACTCACGAATAACATGAACATCAGAGTGTATTTGCTTTGAACTGTTTTCCACTTTATTTCTTTCCCCTGTACTTTTGTCTAGTTTGACTGATCATGAACGTGATCTAAACGTAAGTGTTTGCTCTCACTTCAGTAAATGTATATAGTTAATGTATATGCCATATCTCCTTGCTTCATAATTGACGTATTTATGGGCATGCATATCAGTTTTTTGGTTTTGGATTTTTGGGTTCATCATCTTTTGGCGGTCTTTCCACTTTCAATAGGGTATTGAGCGCCGCCTCATGGTTCTACTTAGAATAGTTGGCTATACCATATTTCTTTCATAAATGCAAATTTCTGAGGATATTTATTGGTTTTATGTGGTGGCCACTTGTTGACGATGAAGTCTGTGTCGTAATATTTTGTGTGTGTTTTGTCTCCAGAAGCAATTATTAGAAACGAAGGAGGCCGTTGATCGTCAACGCAAATCATTAAAGAAACGACAATCTGGTAAAACAGGAGTTCATTCTTTATTAGTAGGAATTTAAATAGTGGATACTCCTACTACCCTTTTTGAGCTTATTAGGGAAATGTATGAATCAGTTCCAGATTTTTTCAAAGCATCTCCTTGCCTTTTTGGTGCCTTTCAGTTAATAAGGCTTGCAAATATAACTTCGTATATTCATTTGTATTTAACATGCTGGAAAGGCCTTGTTTAATCCAGATGCCATTCACTTATGCATGAAAGGCTTCTTCTACTCATTTTTCTGTTATTGTAGTGCTGCTCTTGCTAATTGGGGTTGCTATTCTGAAGTTCTTGAGTGGGACAACTATTTTGTAAAACAGCAGTTATATTTCTCTTCATACCATTTGACCACGTGCAAGGGTGGTGAAATACTGAAAAGTCCTCCACCATGATGGCTCCTCATATAGACCCAAACAAATATAGCCTCATTAGAACGTTTTAGGAAAATTCTGTGTTGCCTTGCCTTTGTGCACAACTGTTGAGGAATTTTAATTTGGTATGTCACCTGGTTTCATCCTTATTGCAGACAAGGGTGAAGCAGCAGATGCAGAATCTGGAACACATGAAGAGGATCTTCTCATTCAGGATGAAATTCTCAAATCTCGTCTGGCAAGCATCAAGCGTGTAAGTTAGTCTCATTGTTTGAGGGTTCCCATTATCTTTACCATGATGGGTTATGTCTATTCCAAATTCAAATGCATTCTTTTCCTTCTTCTTTCCAGGAGGAAGAAGCTATGTTACGTGAGAGAGACCGGTATGAGCTTGAAAAGGCTCGACTAATTCGTGAAATGAAACGTATACGAGATGAGGATGGGTCTCGCTTCAATAATTTTCAGATTTTAAATAACCGTTATGCGCTACTGAACCTTCTTGGAAAAGGAGGATTTAGTGAGGTTTACAAGGTCAGAACTGAAGCTGAACTCTATACGATCATTTTCTTGCCAATATTGGCCACTGTAAGATTATATGCTTTTGCAGTGATTTGAAGTGAGAAATTTCCGGCAGGCTTTTGATTTGGTGGAGCACAGATATGTTGCATGTAAACTCCATGGTCTGAATGCTCAGTGGAGCGAGGATAAGAAGCAAAGTTATGTCAGGCATGCAATACGGGAATATAACATTCACAAGACCCTGGTGCATAATCACATAGTTCGGCTTTGGGATATCTTTGAGATTGATCAGAATACATTCTGCACTGTTTTGGAATACTGCAGTGGTATATTATTTGATGCCTTTGAATCTGTGCTCGGTCACTTGCTTAAGAGGAAGTTTGAACAGTGTACTAAGAAAATGAATATGTGTCTCAGGTAAAGATCTTGATGCTGTTCTTAAAGCAACACCCACGTTGCCTGAGAAGGAAGCACGGATTATTATTGTCCAAATATTTCAAGGTCTTCTCTACCTGAATAAAAGGGCACAGAAGATCATTCATTACGATTTGAAGCCTGGGAATGTGCTCTTTGATGAATTTGGTGCTGCAAAGGTTACTGATTTTGGTCTCAGCAAGATTGTAGAAGATAACGTTGGATCTCAAGGAATGGAACTTACATCACAGGGAGCTGGGACATACTGGTAAGTGGAATTGTATCATCTCTTCAAATTCCATTGAGTTGGTGATAGCCTTAGCGAGCGTAGTCACCTTATAGAAGGAGAAGGAAAAAGATAGTGTTTCTTGGAGGCGTGTCACAGTCATTATTCTGGATTAAACACAAGACCTTGACGTGGCTTGTTGATTTTCTGTTTTCTGCAATCCTAGGTACTTGCCACCAGAATGCTTCGAGCTCAACAAGACACCTCTAATATCCTCAAAGGTTAGTTAAAACTTTCATCTATCCAATTAAACAACTCATATTTCAGGTGATTTATTCTGTTAGAATATAAATAATGAGACATACTGAAAAGGAACTATGTGGTGCATTGCATCCTTATGTAGGTTGATGTATGGTCAGCTGGGGTTCTATTATATCAAATGCTCTTTGGCAGAAGGCCGTTTGGACATGACCAGTCCCAGGAACGGATATTACGTGAGGATACAATCATCAAAGCTCGGAGGGTTGAGTTTCCTAACAAACCCACCGTCTCCAACGAGGTGAAGGTGAGTTTACTCATCCCCAACGTTTCCGAATCAATCCATCTTGGTCTACGAATTCACGGCTAGTTGTTTGTCAAATTCTGGTCTCGTGGGATTGCAGGAGTTCATCCGGCGGTGTCTAACATACGACCAGACAGACAGACCAGACGTTCTGTCCGCTGCTCAGGACCCATATCTCACATACTTAAAGAAGTAGTTTCATTTTGTACAAAAGAATGGGGGCGAAAAAACAACAGCACCGCATACAGAGGAGGTTAGGACTTCGAACGTTGCGAGGCTCGACCACAAACGGCAGTCTGCTGCAACATATCCGTGAGAAGGAATTTGTATAGTTTGTGTAGAGTTTTTGTAGCTTGTTCTTACTGACTTTCTTTCAAAGCCAATCGGGTCTCTCTTAATTCCTCACCTCCTTACAAATTACAATGGTGCTTTGGTCTCTCCAGTTCTTTCGGTTTCTAGTAGTCTGTATGTAAAGGCCCCCCAACATCAGAGGTTGAATTGTCAATTGATGAAATGGGCGAAAGCTAAAGCTCATTGCTTTATTCCTCCCTTAAATTGCTGAACTTGAGCTTGGCTAGCTAGAGTGACTACCGCCGCAGCTTTGTATTATTTGAAGGAAACTTATTACTAGTTAAGAGTGTTGAGTAACTTCTCTCGTTCAGAAAACTGGTTGAACTTGAATAGAAGCCTTTTTTCAGCTCTCTTGAATCTCGATCTTATGTGCAAGCTAAAGGTGTTTTTTTTTGAAGTAGATGAGTTTTGTTTTCCTATATGACAATTGCCCGTTCGGTGTTATTACAAGAGCCACATAAACATTTTGCTATCGCCATTACAAAACCAGGAAACCTGTCCAAAATCTCCCCAAAAAATGGCAGCCTTATCTTTCTCTTCCCCTGCTGCCACAATCCCATCGAGAACTTCCAGTCAAAACCAGGCACCACCACTGTGGCATCACCAGAACAGAATCCGTTCCAATTTCGCCGTCACCAGATGCGAAGCCGGAGAGGAAGCCAGCTCAGCTTCGCCGGAGAACACAGTCAGCTCGCCGGAAGCTAAGAAACCGAAGAAGCTCCAAATCGGTTCTCCCGTCGTCGTGGTTGAGGCCCCCAGGATGATCAAGACCGCCGCGAACATGCCGTGCCTCAGGGTCAATTCCGGCCTCGTCAACCCCGGCGACGTCGGCAGGTCAGTCGCCCTTTCATACCCAAAACTCCGGCCAATTCAATCCCGAAATTTTTGTCCTTTTGTAGTTATTTCCTGGCCAATCTGTTTTGTGTTTGCAGAATTGTGTCCAGAAAACCCAAGGATTTGTGGGCTGTTCGTCTCGCTATTGGCACCTACCTAATTGATGGCAAGTATTTCAAGCCATTGGAGCTTGATGATTGACCGAGTCCACTCTTTCTTCTTCTTCTTTATAGTTCACCATGTCTTTCTTTTCAACCAATCTGTCTAGATTTCTCATACAAGTATTGACTACGGAATCGTTTGGATGAGGAATTCTGTCAAAATCGAGATTTGAAGCATGAATTGTAGTGAAAAAAATCGAAATAGAATCAACTAATCACATCAAAATTTACACAAAACAAAGGACTAGTATTCAGTTTACACAATTCTGAACCAGTTAAACCTTAATTGCATACACCATATCAGAAATCCTTCTCATCTTCTGCTTCTTCTTCTCCTCCTCCTTCTCCACGCTCTTGGCCGGTTCGGATTGCGTCGAATCGCGGCCCCGTTTCTTGCCTTTATCCGGCGAAACCCACTGCCCGTTGACCCAATCCAGATGAACTCGCAGCATCGAAACAGGGTAAGCGATCTCGTCGCCGGTGTAGTCAAAGTAGACGTAGTACATCGGCCCTTTCTTCCCCGTCACTCTCCCGACCCACCACGCGTCGTTGTCCCACGCGTCCACCGCGTCCATCACGCCGAACCCGCCGCTCCCGAAGCGGATGCGCGGCGGGACCGGCCGGATGAACTCGCCGGCGACCGTCTCGATCAGGAGCTCCGACTCGTCCTCCTCCGTCGTCAGATTGACGTACTCCACCTTGTACTGGCTCGAACCCAGAACTTCCACCACCGTGCCCTCAAAGTAGGAGCCGTGAAACCCTTCTTCCTCGCTCGCCACTTCCACGCGGTCTCCCCGCCGAAACGCCACCGTCTTCATCGGAAACGAAAAAGAGACTCGTCGGCGGGACTCTGTTCTTGATCGTAGATATTCCGCAACTCTGTTTTCTTGAAGTAAGATCTTGGAGATGGTACGATTTTCTGATTGCGGAGGGGGAGTTTTATAGCTTCAAGCAGTCCAAATCCTTCCAGGACAGGGAAATATTTTGCGCTGTCCGAATCCGTACAGGAATTGGAAAGCGCAGGAGAAAGAGTGGAAACAGGGGAGAAAGAATTGGAAGCAGTCAAAATTTGCCGAGTGCTTTTTTGTCTATTTTAAGACTCGAAGCTAGCTTCATTCGTTCCCCCCTTCAATTCTTTCTAGCAATCCGTTTGCAGTTTAGCCGGAATAATGGGAGCTGTGAAATTGGAGCTTCGCTGTTGTCCGCAGAGAGTTCTAGGGCTTGCGGTCGAACCCGAGCCCAAGTGGAGCTTCGAGTCTCTGTTGTCGGAGCTCGATTCGCTAGAGGAGAAGCTTAGTTTGCCGGCCAATTCCGCCGTTCCCTTTACTAAAAATCGATCTCGGGGATACCCAAATGGGAAAACCGCGGCATTCTCCATGAGAGTATCAGACGAGGAGCTGGAAGTTTCTGACGGCGAGGAGGATGATAGTCGAGGTTTAGTCGTGTTCAATTGTGATGATGATGCTAATGCAAGAGAGAATGAGGATTCTAGTCAGGAGGAGTTTGCTGGTGCTCTTGATGTTCAACCTTACTTAATGGACGAAGTTGGATTGGTGGAAGCTTCTATGTTTGAGCAGATTCATGAACATCAACTTGAACTGAAGGAGGGGATTAGAAGCCAACTATTGGCATTGGAGATGGAGGTGATGAGCAAAAATCAAAAGGGTGCTTCAGCAATTGCTCGAATCGACAAGTACAGCGAAGCGAGAAGGAAATCAGACCGGAAAGTTGACATCTTGTACCGGCGTTACATTGCAGAAGCAGTAGATGATCACTTGACTGCTATCCAGCAGGATCATGAAATCAAGTGCCAAATGGAAGAAAGAAGAATAAGGATTGATGCAGAGGAGGCAAAGAGAAAGGAAAAAGCTATTGTGAGAGCTTCTGCTTCTGCTCTTCCTCTGGAACAAGGAAGGCTGCAGAAGCTTAAAGAGCTACAAGACCAAAACCAGTCTCTCATGTCAATGTCCAATGTGAACCTCGACAAGCACACACGGCAGATTGGTAGACTGATAAGACAGATAAGAGGGACAGAAGAAAATGTAAGAACAAAAGCAAGTGAACTTCTGAACATCTTCAAGAACAATCCTGATTGCCCCGAGCCCATCACCATCGCAGCATTTGCCAAGAAGGTTGTTGAACACTGCGAAAACCCTGACAATTCGGCTTTTGCATCTGCTCAAGTAATAGTCCTCATCACTTCACAGGTCCCATATGCAATGGATCTGATCTTGGCCAAGTTCCACAAAGCTTGTATCTACACGGTCCCGAAGCATATATCATACTCAAAAGCTGCATTCGGCTCCAAAGAGGCCTATTACAAAGCACAGCTTGGGTTTAGGGAACATGGCGGACAACTTGAGAGTGTCAAAGATTACTTGAAACGCACGGAAGCATCCATGAGATTGTATGGAGCTCTGGTTCAGACAGAAACAGTAGGTGGTGGTATTGAGAACCCTCACGGCCCAGCAGCAGGATGGTCATGGCTCGCCAGATTCTTAAACACTCTCCCAGCAAATGCATTCACCGCTGTGGCACTCGATGCATTCCTGCAAACTGCTGGGTTCGCCCTGTATCGAAAGTACAAGTCCCAGTTCGCGAAGTTGCTGCACATTGTTTCGAGTCACTTCCTCGAGGCGCTGAAAGCTCGCGACGATCCTGACCTGAAGCCCGTAATCATGGAGATCGAATCGTACATTCAATACGAGAAATACCTACAAGAGCCAGAAGGGAGGAGGATGGCAGGGAAGCCTCTGCTGTCCAGCCAAAGTGGCTTCTGAACTAGAGTACAATGGTTGCTTTCCATTTTGTAATTTATAGGAATTCAGATTCGATGTCAACTTATTGTATTTATGATAGGTCATTGAGTGATCAACAATCAAATTATGAACGAAATTTGAGTGAATTGATTAATCAATTCACATTCACGTCTTTATTTTAAGTATGTGAGTATTGAAATATCCGCTTCACCTAGTTAAAACTCAAAATGAGGATTGAAAGAATGATGGCTCATGGGCCAGATATGGCCCAACATCATGACTCTAGCCTTAAAGAAATAAACCGGTCCGTTTCAAAATGTCGGCCCATCCATTATCTGCTTCGTGGCCGTATAAATCTGGGATTAGGTTTAGGGTTACGCCCTTTCATCCTCCTCTGCGCAACAATTCCAGTTCCGAAGTTTCCTAAGCGCATACTTTCAAGTTTCATCACTGCGCCGCTTCCTCTCTTCTCCTGCAAGTGCCACCATGGAAGTAGAGGCCCAAGTTCCAGTTCCTGCTCCAGCTCCGGCGTCGGTTACTGGTCCCATGGACGTCAAGTTGTTCAATCGCTGGGTGTTCGATGATATTGCGGTTCGTTCTCCTCATTCGATTCATTTTTAGCTTCGTTATCGTCTTTCCTCGAGTCTTAGAATCAAACCGTCGATGCTCATGTGTACGATTTTCGCTGCTTAGTTATATTAATGCGACTGAGCTCTTGATTATGCTTGGAGAGTCTTGATTCTGCTCGCAGGCTTATTAGGGTTTTGTATATTTGTTTTGTGATTTGGATGGTTGTAGATCAACGACATTTCCTTGTCGGACTACATCGGCGTCCAATCGGCAAAGCATGCAACTTTTGTCCCTCACACAGCTGGGAGGTACTCGGCCAAGCGTTTCAGGAAGGCCCAGTGCCCGATCATTGAGAGGCTTACCAACTCTCTTATGATGCACGGGAGAAACAATGGTAAGAAGCTGATGGCTGTGAGGATTGTGAAGCATGCCATGGAGATCATCCACCTCCTAACTGATGCAAACCCAATCCAGATCATCGTTGATGCTGTCGTCAACAGGTCAGCACGAGCTTATGATTGAGAGTGAAGTCAATTGGTTTGTGGATGAGTTTGTTTCTTCATAGTATTTTGATTTGCAGTGGTCCTCGTGAAGATGCAACCAGAATCGGTTCAGCTGGTGTTGTGAGGCGTCAGGCTGTGGATATTTCTCCACTCAGGCGGGTCAACCAGGCCTTGTACCTCCTGACCACTGGAGCAAGGGAGTCTGCTTTCCGTAACATCAAGACCATTGCCGAATGCTTGGCTGATGAACTCATCAATGCTGCTAAGGGATCCTCTAACAGGTTTGTTTGCTTCTGGATTTATTTTTTTGATTGGTTTGTCTTGTTCTTGAATGCTCTTATTTTCTGATTGTGCCCTTCTGTTTGCTTTCCAGCTATGCTATCAAGAAGAAGGACGAGATTGAAAGAGTTGCAAAAGCCAACCGTTAAGAGAAGCTTTGTCTATGTCAAACGTCTGTTGTCTTTAGGTTTAGCTTGTGTTTCTGGAAAATGCATGGAGAATTTTGGTACTTGTCTTCTTTGCTGAAGGGGTCCTTTGTGGGTTGTTAGTGAATACTGGTACTGATCGATGGTTGCTATTACAGTTGATTGGTTGATACTTCCGAGTAATTTACCAGCGTGATGTACTTTTGATATTTTGTTGATGATTGCTTCCTCTATCTTTGTGATCGGCTGGATGTGCGTTTATGTCTCTTGGTGCATTGGTACAAAAAGAAAGGCTTTTCCCTTTATTTGTGAAATTATATGTCTTGTTTCTTTTTCCTACTAGTCGGTTGTTAGTGATTGGAGTTGATGCCTTGCATGGATTGAGGAATCGAATGAGTTTAGACTTTAGATTGTTGCCAACTCAGTTAAGTTGATATGGACAGTGTTAATAGCATTTTCAATATCCAATCTTACACTACAGGTGGAACTTCTTGCTAGTTGCTAGTCCGTAGTCGCTGGGGCATTGTTGAAACTTTTTGGCTCTCTCTTAGCAGCTTTGTTAAGCATTGGTTTGTACTGTGGAAGCTGGCTTGTAGTACTGGGTAGAACCACTTGCTAGTTGCTAGGTCGTAGTGGCTGGACGAATGTAGTCGTTTTTTCGCCAGCTTTTACCTACTGGGTCCAGCATTGGTTCGTACTTTGGAAGCTGTCTGTTCGAACTGTTTCGACCTAGACCCAGGCTCCTTCGAGGGCACCAGGTGGAGCTCAATTTACAGTCTGTCTGGATTTGGTCAAATTGAAAAAGGCAATGTTCAGTAGTAAAGAGATTAGAAGCACATTTTCTTCTTCTCGTATTGCCCTCAATTTCGGAATCCATATCTCCAGTTGGTTTGTATCTTTTGTCCTTATAACAAGGATTTCTGGAGGCATATTTCTGGAGGCATATACAAGAGTAGCACATCAGGCTATCTCTAACATTCATGGCGTTTAAATTTAGAACATTGAAGCCACGATCAAGTGTAGTAATTTCAGTACTTATGCAATGTATACTCGACACGATCGAGTAATATGAAAACAAGCCATCAGGCCATTACTAGCCCTTCACTGCCAAACAAATCAACTGGCTCAAAACACCTTAAGCAAACCGATCGAACACTATCTCACAGCACCCACCCTAAAATCCCCAAGTATCTACGTATTAACCTTTGTTCTAAGCTCCTTTACTTCCTGCAAGATCGAAGAATTTCAAGTCACAGTATGCCCAAAAAAAGGAGTTTCAGTTGACAGTAAGTTGCAGGAAATGATGATGGGCAAAAGGGCAATGTGTATAAGATTTTTGTACCTCTTCCAGCTTCTGATTCTGATTCCGCAAGTCTATGGCCTCGGAGCGAGACCCATCAAGCTCCGTCTTCAGCTCGACGAGTTTTGCAGCCAAGACCTTTTCCAAGTCAAACACTGGTTAGGCATACTAAAGAATAGTATCTACTTGTTGAACAACAAAGAAGAACTGATGTGGGGAATGAGACTGGCAGAGAAATTCACCTCGTCCTCGAAGGTACGTTTAAATTCTCGTCCATGATTTCGTATGCATGTGCAGAAAGAAGGAACAGTGGGATGTCGACGTTGTAAGAAAGTTTTCGGAGACGAAGATTTTTGGAAGCAGATAATATCTCCATCAACGAACTGTCGAAATAAACAATGACATTATCATAATATATCCATTCATATCATATGCTAAAAACGAAGATATAATATGTTATTTGGTAAGGGTACCTGGCCAGAACTGAAAGACAGTTCCTTGTCAATGAGTTCAATCATCAAATTTGGTTCATACATAACTTCCTGAGAAAAAAATCCGAGGAGTCAGTTAACCCCGACCATCACCATGGTATTTGGCTAGGAGCCTAGGACGCAGGTTTATGTTCCATCGTTGCAGGAAGTAACTTACTTCGTACAGATCAATATTTTCATCCAATGGATAGCCAGCCATCTCATTTAATCTGGCCACAACATCTGCAGGCTTACTACTTGACTTCACCATTACACTCCCAACATAACTGCAGAGTAGAGAGTCCATGAATCCATAATGACAGCTCAGTTAAACACAAACCAGTAACTACCTCTCTTAGCCAGTGTGGTTATAAATACCTGAGCTCATCGCTCTCAAGGCTTGTAAAGCTTGATGAAGAGGAGTATCTCTCCAGTCATCGTGTGTGGAACAAATGATCGATTCTGCAGAAACAACAAGAACAAGATACTAGTATTAGAAATCATGGATGTGTAGGCTGGGATTTTACATTCAACCACCAATGGACAAAAAAGGCAGGTTTTACCGAGAAACGATGACTTCCTACTTCCAAAAACAAGTTCAGTCTTGCACCATTGCCCTCTCCAAGTATCTCTCCCACCTACACAAATCGAAAAAACCGTTAATAGACAATCTTTGATCATGTGGACACAGGTTAGGGAAGTTCTACTGCTGCAGAAAAGAAAGGGAAAAGAAAACAGGCAATACTCAGGGAAGAGCAGTTGGGCAAGTGGGGAGTCTATCTTACTGTTTCATCATTCTCCTCAAGCCCATGTCAATGGCTGGTATGGACGGTAAGTACCGTTATGACGAAATGCCCATCGCCAGAAACGCTGAAACTGAACAGGAATTCCAAGTTCTGCAGCAACCTTTTCCTGCCAAACACACACACACACATACACACGCAGTTGAAGAAAACTATTTAACCCAGGACAATTAACATTCCTACTCTGGCTTCCCTCCCTCGCAAGATTACCTTGAAGACATTGAAGCGCACATGTTTCTCCACACAAAAGCTCTCGACTTTGGCATGATCCACGAGATCGAAGTGTCTGCTCTTGCCAACCTGATTTCTGATATCTTCATCTCTTGCAACCTAATTGTCAAACCCAAACTTAAGTCAGAAAACAAGGCATACGGTGTACTAGAATGCCCGAGAGCTAGCACGAAGAAATTGGCGATCAACCTTAATAATCACGCACTGCAGTTCCTCCCTGTCAGCATTGCTTTCCTGTCCGGTGTTCAGCCTCTTCTGCAACAATACCAAAAAGAACACAAAAATGTCAACTGGGTCGGTAAACTTGGAGATCATCGAGGTCAAAACTGGATTCCCTTCCGATTCCAGTTCTATTCTTCACGGATTCTATTCTGCTCAGGTTTTCAATTAAATTAGAAGTTGAATTTTTTCCCCTCGCGATAATAACTGTTGAAGCCACATCCTCGCCGCCATGGCTGGGGTTTAGTGACGACGGTGAGATTGCAGTCAGGGGGGTCATCCCTTAACGTGGGGAACGTATTTACATCTGAAAAAAGGAAGACGGAGTCGAATGGGGAACTTCCAATTTTTTCGTTGATTTTCGGTGGGTATTGCCATCTTCTGCCTCTGTCTTCGTTTTCAACCTTGCGAGACTGTCTTGTTTGTTTGCTGGCCGGGTAGCTCGACGGGAGGAAAGCGCGGTAATTTGTAGGAGAAAACAGGGGAAGTTCGCGCCTCAGTTGTGATACCGTGCAACACAAGTTTGTGAAAAGCCCAGAGATTAAGGCCCATATTTTTGGCGTCAGTCAAGCCCACACAAACAATAAGTAGGCATTTGGCATTGGGTCTATTCTTTTGATAATTGGATCAAATTTTCGAATAACACACATGAAACAAATTAGTTAGGGATGACAATGGGTCGGGTGGAGACGGATAGTGCATATCCGTAAAAGTAGTTCGGGTTTTACCCATGTCCATACTCACATAAGAAACGTGTAGAAAATCTAAACCATGCCCATACCCGTTCGGGTTTCGGGTATCCACGGTTATCCATGGATAATAATTTTTCTTTATAACTCCAACCAATATGTTAATATTTACACGTATTCTCACGTTACGTAAGACGAAAAGTACGAAAATAATTCACTAGAATGAAGAAAATTAACTAAAACAACATAATTTCATAAACAAAATGATATTTATATGCTAAATATAGTATGTTAGAGAAAAATATTGATTATTTCTAGACAAAATATATATGCATGTGTATAATCGGGTGGGTTCGGGTTGGATAGTGAGAAAACCATGCCCACCCATTACCCGCAATATTCGGGTTCGGGTTTTACCCGTACCCACTAAAAGTCGGGTTCGGAATTTACCCTATCCGATTAGATCGGATTCAGGCGGATATCCACGGTTACGAATATTTTTATCATCCCTAAAATTAATAATCTCAATAACCAAACTTGCAATTCACCACAATACCCGTCCACCTTCATTCGAAACCAAAACCTAAACCCTTTGATTCAGAATTTCAGATTAGGGGGGGGGGGGGGGGGGCTGAAGAAAGAAATGAAGTAGCAAAGCTCATAAAAAGTGCATTAATCAGCCCGGCCCAACCAGAATAACAAGGTCGGAGTTTGGTTCAACCGCAATAAACACGCTCAGACAAAAAGCCCATAATCATTTTCACTAAAACTGTAAAACAGGTCCCTGACAGAAAAATAAAAAATAGAAATTCTAGTTATTTCTTTTTTCCCTTTGGTTTGCTTCTTCTTCATCTTTCTCCTTCCCCCATCTCCCTCACAGGTTCCCTTCCTCTTCATCTTCAAAATCTCTGCTTAATTCCTTAGCAAGGCCATAGAACTCATCCAATGCCTTGCCCAGACGGCCATGGCTTTCCCTCATCAACCGCTGACGAAGCTCTGTCCTCTCAGCAACCAATTTCACACGCTCCAGTTCTGCTCTCTCCCGCTCCAATGCAGCTTGATCCTCCTTCCGCCCGATCCTCTCTTCCTCCAGAGCTGCCTTCAACTGGTCCCGCTCCGTAGCACAGCTCACGAGTCGCCCCACCGCATCTCGAACCTGCGCCTCGAGGCCGGAGGATCGCTCCTGCGCCATCTTCAGCTGCTCGGTTAAGTCCCTGGCCTCCATCCGCGCCTTCCTGTTGGCCTCTGCCCACAAGTAGAAAAGAATGGAAACTCGGTGAGGGTCAGAGCACAAGGAAGTAATGACAAGGGAAAGAAGAGGAAGAAGAAGAAGAAGACTTACTCTTTCTGTTTGTGGTCTGTGTAGACGCCATGTTTCCTATCTTTAGCTTTTACGAAATACACTCTGTTTTGCTTCTCTATCAGAACAGAGCTATTTGCAGGACATTGTGACAAGCAGAGAACACACCAGTGCGATATATAGCGGAGAAAGGAAGACTGACTGGAGACTGATCGAGACTCAAAAGCACTGAAATGAAAGGTTTCTGAGAAGCCCAAGAAAGAACCGTTCGGATTCGGCAGAGACCCGATCGACCAGAAACAGGGCATTCAAGATTTCAATGTCCCGCCCGGCGAGCTCGACGAGTAAAGATTGGGGTACGCTCTTTTGGGTTATCTAGAATTTGTAATAAATATTGGAACAGAACCCTTGACAGAAAATACAGTGAACCTCTCCTGAAGTGTAAACACTAAACAGTATAAGGTAACGAAGCAATGCATTCAATAAAGCATGAGGGAGTTCAATAAGACCTCTGTTCCTGTAAAAATGAGAACCAATACCACTCATTAATCGCGCTGCCATAAGGAAAAACAGAACATAAGGAATGTACAAGGCTACAAAAAGGCCAAAAACAAGATGGCCAAAAGGAGAGAGGAAGGTTGCAACTTCAAAAAATGAAGCCATGATCACATTGAGAAAGCAGACTGACTTGCATTAGCTTCTTCCCACCCTCGCATCCCTAAGTCTCTCCATTGCCTCAAAAGCTGATCTTCCTTCAAAGTTCAAAGACACCATCATTAGCCTTTACCCTGCGAGCTCCTTCAATTGCTGCAGAAGAATTCGGGAGTACCTCCAGATCAGGAGCTATCCAGAAAGTTAGGGAATGATGATCCCAGAAAGACTTTACCTTTTCCAACTTCTGAGTATGATCTCTTAAGCGTTTAGCCTCTGAACGAGACTCGCAAAGCTCCTTCTTCAGGGAGGCAACACTTGCATGTACAGCTGCGGCCTTTCCTCCAAAACAAAGGTCACCCACAAAATGAATTTGTTTACTTCGTAAGTTGAATGACTTAAGTAAATTCGATAGAGAAGTTTTAAGACCGAGATGATTGGAAACACACTTCATGCTTGGTGGCACGTTGAAATGCCAGTTGCCAACAGTGCAAGTATGCGCAGAACAAAGGAATGGTGGGATATCGGCAATCCACAACACTTTGAGGAGACACGGATCTCTGAAAGCAGAAGGTGTCTCCATCCTGCTGCTGCAAGAACAACATTGAAATCGAACATGTAGGTGATGTGAGAATGCTATTCACGGGTTTATATATAGTACTGATCTCAAGCCATGGATTGGATGAGGGATGGTCTATGAGAATGATGCACGTGTTACCCCCAACATGTCCAAAAAGGTACTTCCTTGTCCACGGGTTCGATCATCAATTCGGATTCAGAATGAAGTTCCTGTAGAAATACCAAATTTTGCAATTCATTCCAACCATCACCACGAAAAGCTACGTGCTGCAGTGAAGTATGCAGAAGTTGAAGCATAATGTACATGGGGTTGAAGCATAATGTACATGGGAAGAACAAACCTCATACAGATCAATCTCTTGATCTGGAGGATAGCCAGTCATCTCATTCAATTTCGTCAAAATGTCGGCTGGCTTACCGCCTCCTTTTACAAATAGTCTTCCAACATAACTAAAAAGGGCAAGATGGAAGAAAAGTCACCACAATTTCATGGCTTTATCATCCGTGACTACAACTACTATAACTAGAACACTGTAGTCTGTAAGTACCGTAGCTCGTCATTTTCTGGCTCATAAACCTTAAAAAAGAGGAGTATATCTCCTTGCAGCTTCTCAGGTGGGGGAACGGGTTGTAGATTCTGATGAACCAAACATTCAAAAGATTTGAATCTTGAATGAGATGCGATTGTGATTGTTCAGCACGGAGGGGGAAAAAGCTTACCGTCCCATCTCTTTCAACTTCCAAGAGTAAGTACAGCTTTGCATTATAGATCCGGAGACTTTTTGCCACCCATTGTTGAAGCTCTATCACCTGCAGCACAACACTAAGTATGTATAATATATATACACCACAACTTCACATCAAACATGATTTGAAACTTGACATTTGATGCCTTGCAATCAAGGATTCAAGAGATAGGCAAACATTTTAAACCATTAATGAATCAGTGTGTCTCGATGAAAGAAGTATTTCACACAATGCAAAAGCATATATATACATTTGACAGAAATCAATGGGTCTGCCTACAATATCATTCAATAATGCAGCTTTAAATTTTTTTGGTAGAAAATAGTGCAACTTATTTTGATGATGATCATTGGCCATATTGATGGGCATAAGAAGGTAGAGAGAAATCAACTGCATACAACCATTTACACATTCAGAGAAGCAACTAGCGAGTGCCTTCTTTCTTACCAGTCGATTTTCCTCTGAAGAAGTCACTGGCGTTGCTGGACGACAGTTTCCACCACCAGAAGCGTTGAAACAGAACTGGTATTTTTAATTCTCGAGCAACAGTTTCCAGGATAAAGAATAAAACTACATAACTTGATCTCATGGCAAACTGCCTAAAACTATACACAAAGAGTCAGAGCCAGCATATCCAATAACCTAAAGCTGAGCATCATATGCATACCTTGAAGAGTTTGAAACACTAACAGGTTTGGAACACGAAAGCTCGTGACTTTGTCATGATCTGCGAGATCAAAGTACCTGGTTTTCCCAATGTCATTCCGGATATCTTCATCTCTTACAACCTAATCATTGAAACAATGAAACCCAATCATATGGTACTAAAATGTCAGATAGCTAGTTACACCGAGCAATGAGAGCAACAATAGAGAGATTGCTAAATGATAAACCTTAATTATCATGTACTGTTGTTCCTCCATCGCGTCACTCGTTACCTCTTCGGTTTTCAACCTCTTCTGCCAAAAAAAGAAGGCTATCAGTAACTTGCTTGTGATAAGCAAGCAAGCAAAGCATGCCAAGACAAATAAACAAGAGAAGAATCAACGTCATTGGGTTGTTACACTTGATCATCCAGTTCAAATAGACCCAAACCAGCATCACGGCTAAGGTTTAGTCATGTCAGGAAGCGATTCAAGACACGAAGTTGAGCCGATAGCGAGCCCTAACTAAGTCATATTCTCCACAAATGAAAGGAGGACAGTCAGATTCGAGCTAGGATCACACCTAAATGAAGCAAATGGGGGAGAATGTGTTTACTAATGAGCCATGCCCACAAAAAAAAATTTCACCCAAATGTTACAAAAAAAATCTTCAGCTTCTTCATCGCATTGTCCCAGAAGGGACTCGAGCTCCTTTCACTTACCAACAACAATATAGTTCCAAGGAGAAGGACAAAATCGCAAATGAAAACGAAGCAAAGACGAGTGAGCCGGGTATTCAGTGAGGAACTTACTTGCTGATTTCCTGAACATGCCATCGTCTTCTTCTTCAGCCTTTGCGACTGACTGACTCTCTTTCACTTGTTTGCGCGCCGGGACGCACAAGCAACAAACAGGTAAGAAGCTGCCAACCGTTATGCTAAATGGTTCGGTTTTAGGGTCCATGTCTGGTTATCTTCCATGCTCGGTTACCCGAACCGAACCGGCCAGGTTGCTACGCCGCGAAATTATTGCCGGTTTGCCACCATTTTTTTTTTGAAGTTTTTTTTTTTGTATAACAAGGAGGCCGAGGCCAAGAAGAAGAAATCAGTTACAGAGGGAGAAGATCTGACGCTCAAAAGTAACCCCCATCATGTCGTCTCGAATAAGCGGTACAACACTCGGAGGTGGATCAGCCAACTTATGCATCCCGTAGGGATAGACGAGACTTTGCTTCGAGAGCCAGTCCGCGACTATTCCCTTCTCGGTATGTATGAGACAGACTGACCAACCAATCAAAACTAAACTTCCTACGAATGAGACTCAACAAAGTAGCATAAGGATGGATGGGGTCGTGTGGTTAACCAATTCACAGAAGGATGTGGGGATGGCAAAATGCTTGAATGTGGTCTAATTGGGTTAGGTTAAATTCAAATTAAATAAATTATTCGGATAGATAAAACTCGAATTAAGGTATTACAGGTAATGAGTGAATATGATTTTCTTTTTATCCAACTCGAACGTGTATGCTTATATATGCACATTCATTTTTCTCTTATGAATATGTTTTTCTTTTCTTCTCTTGACATATTCAACATACATTTTATGAAGTTTAGAATCAATGATTCATCATTTGTACTTTTTCGCTTATTTGATGTTAATATGCTCATAAGTCATAACTCATAAGAAATCAGTTGACATAAATGAAAATTAGTATTCATGATTACAAAGGAATATTCGAAACTCGATCGAGTACAACCGTGATTTTAATAGTATACCTCAATTTATATGAATACGAGAATACGGGCATAGATAAAACCCGATTGGTTAGAGCAGGGTAACGGATATAACAGGTATTTGAGACGTCTTCTCAGATTCCTAGAATGCATTACAAACCTTCTGATCCTCTGTACAAAAGGAAATACCAGCATGCTGGATGCAACATTCCTCATACACTTCCATCGCTATAATTAAAATCAATTATTCCAAAATTTCATAATACAATAGCTAGTATAGGACAAGAGATAATCCAAGAAAGATGCTCAACTGTTAACTGGAAAACGAACGAAAGAACCAAAATTGAAAGAAGACACTTGTAGATGAAATCCACGCGATATCACATTCATAAATAGACCTTGCCAAAACAAGAAAAGCGAGCTTAACTGATTACAAAGGTTACATAAAGGCCAGGATGGCCATGGGAGAAGAAAACAATACCATTGTGTTCCTCGCAGCTTTGTTCTCTCTTTTCTCTGTCACCGCCGCCAATCACGTCCATAGTCATGCCGCCAATCATGCCCATTGTCATGCCGCCATTCATGTCCATTGTCATGCCGCCATCTCTGATCGTAACTACCCGGGCTGTGCCCATATTCACCGCCGGGGTTCCCAAGCCTATCATCCAGATACCTGTGCTGCGGCTGTGGCTGATGATGATGATATGGCGGGGGACCACCCTGAAATCTCGAAGGCCCAGGACGCTGCTGATACATCATCCTCTGGGCTGGTGGAGCTGACGAATAGTGACTCGATGACGCCGTGTGCAACATATGGTTCCTATATGGAGGCGGCGTCGAGGGAAGTGGCTCCGGATAATGATGATGGTGGTGATGATGCCTCTGAGGGTTCCAGTGATGAGGGTAATCCCCCGGATGCTCAGCAGCCCATCCACCTCTCTGCATTGAAACAGGAGGTGGGTTCTGAAGATGCTGATGATGCCTTTGGGGATGTGAGTTGGAGTGATTCTGCAGGTGCTCCGTAGCCCACCCACCTCTCTGTTTCGGCTTCTTCGGTGTTGAAGGGTGTGTTTCCAGAGATTTTGGGGCTTTATTTTTCGACTTTTTTGGTGTTGGAGGAAGGTTTGCTTCAAGAGATTTTGGGGGTTGGCGTTTTGACTTTTTTGGCGTCGAAGAGTGTGTTTCGATAGATTTTGTTTTACTCTTCTTCCGAGATTTACCACCGAGGTTGGGAGGAGCAGATTTCTGCCCCGAGATCTTCTTCTCCTTGAGAGGAGCTGAAAAATCAAGAATCCGCTTGCCAGTCTGAAAAAAACCCACATACACAAACAAAAAAGGCAAAAAGCAACACTCAAGACGCCGTTAACCAATTCCAAGTGACTAGAGCAGGGGTTTCAATGAAGATTCAAGCATACCTTGCCAGGAGTAGGGCACTCACGGGCAAAATGTCCCCCTTCGCCACATCTGTAGCATGTACTGGGTGATGCTGCCGTAGTAGCAGCACCGATACTAGTTGCTTCTTCAGTTACCCTTGCACAGTCCTGTGAGATAAAACCGGTCATGCATCTTATGGTATATAAAGTAACGAACCGTAGACAATTCAAGTATACTGAAAATGAAAGCATCAGAGGATCAACAGAGCACAAGTAACCCTAAAGGAGTTGAAGGGAAAGCGCAGAAAAATCACCAGAGTATCAGGAAATTATATTCGTTACAGCGTTCACTACAATATAATTCACGATAAACCATGTGCTGTGTCCGGAACAGATGGTTGTGTGTTTGAAGGAGGTGGTACACATTCTTATAAACCAATCAAAATAATGAAAGGTTGGTACAGGGACAAACCCGAAAGAGTGAAAAAGAGAAGGAAAACATTCTTACATAAAAGAGAAAAAAGGCAAGCATTGAGAACTTACAATGCCATTATGACCGACTGCACCGCATCTGTAGCAGGAAACTTCATTTTCTCCCTCGTGAACATAATTAACGCAACATAAATGGCCAAAGCTCTTGCAAACGTAGCATTGTATATCCTGAAGTTATAAGCAGAAGGGGAACAATTTATTTTAATCCACAGCCAAAGGAGGATCGATCTTGAGTAACCACCAAGAGAGATTAAAAGAATGACAACAATCAAGTGCATAGATCAGTCATTAAAAGACATCTGAGGACCAAAAATGCAACCTGAAGATCCTCTTTGTCATAACTTTTCCGGCACGTGAACATTTCATGTCCGGATTCTCCACATTTGAGACAAATTCTGGAACTCTGAAAGCTACCCTTGTGTTTCTCAGGACAATTCCTTGCGCGATGTCCACGAGTTTTGCAAATATAGCATTCCCCACCCTATGAAAACATAAACAAGTACCATTTAGGTGGAAAGCAAACACAACAAATTAGATACTGAAGCATATTCATAAAGAACCCAATAAGCTTCCCGGTCTCTAAATTTAAGAAAAAATGGACGACAAACACAATCATTCACGTATCAGACTAGTTGCAAACCTTGTTACATTGCTTCGCAACATGATCCAAACTCCCGCACATAGTGCACGGCTTCCGCTTCCTAGGTGCTGAACAGTTCACTGCCATGTGACCTTCCTCCCCACAGTTATAGCAACTTGGCCAGCTGACAGTATCTGGAGGATCAAAGTACCTCGGTCCACGCTGACAGAAGAAATAGAACAGAATTGTATTGCTTTATTTCCTATCCCACCATTTATGGTTTCAAACTATTCCAAACATGTAATGTCAACTCACAAGAAGCTTTCTCAGGACGATGTTATCTGATATCTCCACAGAATCTGGATCCACAGTTACAACTACTCCTGCATCCTCAACTGCCTCCGTCTTCCCAATCTCATCCCCTTCCGTAACTGATTCCTTCTTCTCTTCTTCATCTATGATGATAACCTAATGCAGACGACATTCAAGTAATTCAAAGTCATACAATGGAAGTTGAGAACAAGTCCTCAAAGTTCAAACCACCTCCCAAATGAATTGTACAGCACTCAGCCAAAGTGACAGGAAAAATAGAACTTACAGGCTGCTCTCCACCTTCCTTTCTTCTAACCTTCTTCTTCTTCTTTAGCTTCTTCTTCACAACCCCATCAGGACCAGTAACAATCGCATAGGTTTCCAGTGACGAAGACGACGATAGCTCCGCTGTGCCATCGCCGCCGTTACTGCCACCGACAGCAGCACCGGCATCGCCATCCGAGCTGCGACCGTTGCTCAAATCAACGGCGCCAATCTCTTCGGCGTCCACCTTGGTCCCGCGCTTGGAAAGAGCTTTCTCAACGATCTTCAGGCTCAGATCCTCGTTGGCCTCCTTGTCATCTTCGTCGTCGGTGACGCTCAAGTCCACCACAAGCTTTGGCTCGTTCTGCGTCTCCTCAGCTTCTTCATCGACGACTTTAGCCTTTCTCTTCTCTCCTCTCCCCATTCCCTGGCAGGCTTACCAGCGGTTAGGGTTTGAACAGAGGAGGATTGAAGTTTTCAGTTTCTACTTCACGGCAGCTAGGGTTTCTGCCGTCGTGTCGTGTGCAGCGCCGAACTCGATTTCCCTAATTAATTGGCTCCGATTTTAATTTGTTCGCCGTTTCCTTTTCTCCTTCCGTTTCAGAGAGGGCGTGGGATCTGGGCCCGGCCCACTTTCACAAGTGTGAACTGTGAAGTGTGGACTGCGGACCGTCAGCCCGATCACAATGCACGTTTTGGAATATTCTTTACTACTCACTAATCCAGCGCATGGTAAAATACTATTAAGACACCATAAACTATTCTTTTTTTACATGTTGCACCTAGAAAAAAAAAATTCCCGCAAGAGTTAAAACTATTGTTTCCCATTCAAACCCTTAAAATTTGTCTTTGGTAAAGTTCAGTATGATATTTGACAGTTCGGTAATTAAATGACAAATGTCAATATCTTATTTGACGATTAAGTAACTAACTTGTGTGATATGAAGAATGATGTGGCTTCTTACGAAAAAGGGTTTGATCTAGTGGTAATATCACTAGTCTCATAAAAAGTGAATGCAAATCACTCTTATAGAAAGAAAATTGGTATTGCTTCCTTTGAGAATAGTCCATTTTCTAAAATGTGACAAATACCACACTTTTCACAATACAAAAATAGGTATATTTCTTATCTTCTAAAAATAATATATTTTGGTAAATGGGAAAGTTAGGGAGAAGAGACACGATGTAAGAGAAGGGAGAGTCGTGAAGTAAATATGACAGTGAGGTGGGTTATCTTAAATCTTTTACCATCCCCATTTTGAATCTAAAAATCTATTTCATTTTTATCACCGTGATAGAAGTTTTGCATCCTCGTCATTAGCATATAACTTATAACGGATAATCTTTGGCACGTACATCCAGTCGAAAATTAGTTCAAAGTTGTTCCCCTTGTGACTTGGCCAGGGCATTGATTTGGCATGGTAACACATAATATGTAGCCTTGTGAACCAAGGGATGGTGGATAGTAACCACTATAGAGGGTTTGTGGCGTTGGTTTATAACTCTAGCATGCGCAAGAAATATGCAACATGATGTTTGGCTCGAGTGGTAGAAGTTCGGAGGAACATTGGAGCCTAGACACTCTAGAGTTTGCTTCTAGTATATTGAGCTTGAACTAAGTTTATATTAGAGATATTATATTTGATTGTTCCTCTCGTAAGGCATAATCGACTTCCTATTTTTCTTTATGAGTGATGCTCAACTGTTTGTGGTCGATGCAACATGGCATAAACTGCTTTTGGAAAGTGGTGTGTTTTTTCAGTATATTGACCAAGTCGATTAAGATAGAACTATAAAATGATAACGCAGTTACCAGAAAAATAAGAAGTTTATATAAGTAAACACAACACTAGACGAACATCATTTAACGTAATCCAACTACAAACCATGACAAAATCAAGTATTACAGAATTTAGATTACAATGTGTCATATATGTGTCGATGGAATTTGACGAGTGGACTAGGGAAGCTTAGGGTTGTGGTGCTTTGCAAACTTCAGCGGATGGGGGAAGAGGAAATGAATGATTCATAATTAGATGTTTGTATATATGGTTTATGAATACGAAGACTGGGTGGGAGTACTTAAACTCACTTTCGTCGATCTTTTTATGAGTATTTCTCGTAGTCTAGTCAATGCAATAAAACCTTGCTTGATTGCAGTAGGGAGGGATGCCTCGAGAGGGAGAGTAAAGTTATCATCCCTTATTGCAAGTTGCAGCAAAGGAAGGAGAGGGGAATGTTGTAAGGAAGTGGTTAAGTACCATACATGACCTATATAAGATCCAACATAACCTCTCATCAAATTGCCGTCCTTCCCTGTCAATCGCCTCCGTTACCAACCAGACCCCGGCCCCATTCTCGTTCGTTGCTTCATTCTAGTTTCCGAATTGCTGTTGATGGGGCAACCAGGGCTCCGACTCATGGCGCCGTCGGTATGGTTGGCTTTGATCATCTTGTGCCAGTTTTTGCAAGGGGTGGTTTCTTCCCTGGTCTTTTTCATCCCAAAATTATGGAGGTATTGGCAATTCGAGAAGCGCTTTTATTACTTTGACAATGGCAGTGGCAGGATCGACCGGTCGTGATCACAAGTGATGCTCTTGCTGTTGTTCACCATTTGGCGGATTCTGATGCCAACGATGTTCTTGCGGGGGCTATCTTACGAGAAGTCATATTAATGTTACAAGAAATGCCGCTGGTTTCTGTTGTTTTTACTCCTAGAGAAGCGAATAGGGCTGCCCATGTTGTGGCACGTAATGCCTTATGCTACTCTGGCACTAGTAGTGTTTGTTTTAACTGTTCTTTCCTCATTTGACTGTCTACTCACGAAGAAGCCGTTGTTTTGTGGCTATCTCGTGCTTATCTAGTTAATCCGCAAGGGTTTCTATGACAAAAAAAAAAAATTCTTGGACTTGGAAAAAGAACTGACGGGCAAGAGAACTGACTAGTGGTTGAGTAAATTCAAAAACCATTTTATTTCTAGATTTTCAAATTCTCCAAAGAAGACAAACGCAGGGGAGATAGTGGATTTGAAAGTTTTTTGAATTCATAACATATCACCACCAGATACCGAAGTTGTCAGTTGGGGCGGAAGAAAGTAGGCCACTTAGACCCACCATATTCCAGAGGTGAAGGGCAAGAGGACAGTGGAACATAAGGTGCTCAATACTCTCCTGACCATCCCAACAAATTGGGCAACGAGCTTGGCAGTTAATTCCCCGGGATCTAAGAGCCACCATAGTTGGCAAAATTACTTTCAAACATTGCCATATGAAAAATTTGAGCTTTGGTGGGACGTCAAGAGCCCACGTCCTTTACCAGACTGGAAGATCAATTATGGAAGCCATCGATTTTTGGCTGGGCGCTAAGATATTTCCCAATGCGAGATGGTATCCTGTCTTCACCGAATAAAATCCATCTTTTGTAAAGTGTCAGATTAACTTATCCTGTTGTGGTAAAATGGGAACCACCATTTTTCTAATAATATCAACTGATTTGTCATTGAACCAGTGTCTTAATCTGGGGACATGCCATTCCTTTTGTCCTTCTCTGATGAAAAATGATACTCTCGGGTTGTTATTGCTTTTTGGTTGCCTAACTTATCATTATTAACGATATCAGTCATAGGAGCTAGACTCGACGCGTCTATTTTTTTACAAATTGAGGAAGTTCAACGAATGACTTGTTAGATTCTTAAAATATGGGGATCATTTTGTTATAAGCAATAAAGTCTAATGATCACTTTGCTGATCAATCAAATATTGCGTTTAAATCTTTTTAACCAGGACCGGGTGAAACAAAGCGGTTATTTCGATGACCACGGTGAAAAAGAAAAACAAACGAATCCACCACTCCACTCAGCGAGTCCGGATCTGGTGACTAAGGGGGGGTGCTTAGTCACATGGCTAAGCTCCCCTCAGCCCTTAGATTAGAATGGGTAGATCTAATGGTCCAGATGAAGGAAGGGTTAATAATTAATCAGAGGGGTAGTTTTGGCATTTAAAAAAAATAATTAAATCCTGTTTTCCATTTTATTTATTTTTTCCTTTTTCCCCTCTCCAATTCTCTCTTCCTTTCCCGTTGTATTGTCCAGAGAGAGAGACGAGGCTTCTCCAGCAACGGCGAACGGCGAGGCTTCTCCGGCGAACGGCGAGGCGATTCTCCAGCAACGGCGAGCCGATTTCTTCCCGACGAAGGCCAAGCGATTGTCTCTCGGCGATCTGCGAGGCGATTCTCTAGCGAACGCCGCTACGCTGGAGGAGAGAGAGGCGGCAGCCTTGGAGAGAGAAAGTAGATCTACTCGTCGGAAAACAGAGGAGAGAGAGACGATGGTGAGGAGAGAGAGGCGGTGGAGAGAGCTTCGACGACGATGGAGGAGATAGAAGCGGCGCGGTGATGGAGAGAGAGAGGTAACGACGGCTGTAGAGAGAGTCGACGGCGACGTCGGCGGCGGCAGCGGCGGCGGCGTGGAGAGACATCGTATCGTCATCTGAAGGAAGAACAGTGGTTTGTATGTTTTGTAACATTAGTTTGTATTGTTAGTATTTTTGTACAAAATGTCAGTATGGTTTGTATGTTTTTCTTTGACAGTTTGTACTCTTAGTATGTTTTTCTTTGACAGTTTGTACTCTTAGTATGTTTTTCTTTGACAGTTTGTATTCTTAGTATGTTTTGCTTGTATTCTTAGTATGTTTCGCTTTGTATTGTAAGTACTAAATATTTGTATACTTTATATGTATTGATTTGTGATGCAAAAAACATTACAAATATGGTTGACAAAAATGACAAACATGTGGACAAAAATAACAAACATTACAAACAATACAAAAGAAACCAACAAACATTACAAACATAACAAAATAACAAACATTACAAACATTGCAAACAAACATTACAAACATTACAAACAAACATTACAAACAGTACAAAGCATACTACACGTACAAAATATCACTACTTACAATACAGATTGGTAAACTTGTATTACAAACAAATGAATACAAAGTATACAAATCATAACATAAAAGTATACAAACTTGAATAACAAAAGTTACAAATACAAATCAATGAATAGAAAGTGTATAAATCATAACATAAAGTATACAAACTAGACAAACAAACATTACAAACATTACAAACATTACAATGTATACAAAATAGTAATATAAACATTACAAACATCACGAACTCAATACTGTTGCCGGAAAATCATCCACCACCGTCTCTGGTCACCGGAAAACTGCTCCGCCGTCGCCGGAAAAGTTGACAAGAACTCTCTCTCTCTCTCTCTCTCTCCTCCTCCCTCCCTCCCTCCCTCCCTCCCTCTCTCTCTCTCTGTAGCTGCTTGTTTGGGGAAATTAAATCCCAACAGCTCTCTCTCTCTTGTTTCCCCAATTAATCCCACAAGCCTCCCCTGGGAACGGCGGGTACTCCTCCCCTGGGAACGGCGGCGCGGGTACCATCGAAGAAAAATCCCCATCGGGAAAATCCCCACGCCATCGCCGGAGGTAAATTCCCATGCAATTGTTGGACCGGCGGAGAGTCTCGTCGCGCGGAAGGTAGAGAGAAGCAGCCGAGCAGATTTTATTTTTTAATTTTAATAAACAAATTAAATTTTAGATGAAATTACTACATTGTCCTTCATTAAAGTGGATTAATCTGAGCCATTAGATTTTAATGATATGGAAGGGCTGAGATTCACTTAGTTATGTGACTAAGGCCCCCCCTCTTAGTCACCTGATCTTGGCCCCCACTCAGCGCCACAAATTCTTCCCTTTCTTTTTTTTATCCTCCATGGCTTCCCTCCTCGCTTCCTCTTGCTCCTCTCCCCTCCCTTCTTCTCCTTCTCCGCCAACAACGTCTACTTGTACATGCAGCAATCTTCTCCTTCGAGCACGGTTGCCATTCTCGAAACCGAAACTCCCTTCTCCACCTCCCTGCTGTTCTCCCAGCAAGCGAAACCTCCTTCCCAACTCAACGGCCAATCTCATCGTCGTCCCGCCGCTTTTCCTCTTCCCCGGATCATCACCTCCCAATACCCAGACAGTTTTAATCACTGCTAGCGTAGTGGCCGCCATTGCTCTCTCCCTCTTCCTCGGCCTCAAAGTAATTTCCGCCCCATTTTCCTTCTACATCTCTCAATTTTGCTGATAGTAGTTAACTGAAATTGCTCCCATGAAATGGGTTCTTTTTTTTTTTTTGGTATTTGGCAGGGAGATCCAGTTCCGTGCAGCAAGTGTGCTGGAAATGGTAAGCTGCCTCTTTTTCTGGGTTTCTGGTTTTTTGGTCTTGGGAATTTGGATAAATGAATGTGTGGTGCAGAGTTGTGCAGTTCTATCTATGTGTGAAGCACTGAAATTAGCTTGCATTCCAATAGAGCAGTTTTTGAAATCGTGAAGCATGAGAAGGAAATGCATTCTGAAGTGTATACAAGTAGTATAGTTGGAATTGGTGAATACTGTAAACCAATCAGTAACTTGGAGATGAAGTTAGGGGTTAATATGGATATCCTTTAGTTAGATAGTACATTTTGTCTTGATGGTAATATGCAAGATGCTTTGCAGCTTTAGTTAAGTTTATACATACCCTTTAGAGCTATTAAGCTGGATTCACAACAAAATGTGAAAATTTGGCATGGTTTGCGGCTTCACGTTGTTATTTCATTGTTTGGCACTTCGAGTTCAGTTAATTGTGTTGCCCTGAGTCCTGACTGTTGATTATTGTTGCTTCCTTTTGTTCTTCAACAAGGGGGCACGAAATGTGTGTTCTGCGAGAACGGCAAGATGAAGCAAGAAACCGGCTTGATGGACTGCAGAGTATGCAAGGGTGCAGGTATCATCATCATCATCATCCTATGTGATAACTTTTGCTGTTAATTCCTCATTAAGGAACTATTATGTTTAACTAAGATTGTGTCTAATAGTTACTCTAGATCATTTCTGAATGTGCCATCTGTACCTTGTGGGGGTTCCCACTGCCTCTTCTATCAATCTTGCCTCCCACATTCTTTAGAGGGGAAAAATTCACTGCAAAATGTGACAAGCCTAGTGTATCCACTGTGTAACCACGAAATCGACATGAATTCCATTGCAGCAGTGAACATTGATCTCTGCTTATCTAGCACCCTCATCAACTCAGTGCTTGAGCTCTTTAAACCTGAATGTTCGTTCTTCACATATTCGTATTGTAATCAGATATGGGTACTATGTGCAGGGTTGATACTGTGCAAGAAGTGCAGAGGTTCTGGGTATTCTAGACGGCTATGATCTTGTTTTTGTCTGGGCATTTAGTTACATATACCTTCTATCTGCCTATTTTTGGGTTCATTTTCTTCTTTCTCCATCCATCTTATATGATGTGTAAATGCTTTGCTATTTTTCTCCTCTGTTGTGCAACTTCTTGAGTAATGTTGAGTACAGAAATGTAAATATTGCTGTCTTAAAACAGCCCTACTACTTATAATGATTCATCCAAGTTTTGGCCTATTCTTCCAGCTGATGTGTTTTTTTGGTTGGGGTATCATGGCCTCATTGGTGTCTCTCCTTTCTCCAGCTTAAGATTTCCCATATAATAGTTTCCCGGGACGACTTATCATGTTGGGCAGGCTGTAAGCAATAAGGTGTATTAACTCGTATTATCAGTGACAGCTCAAGTTAAGAGCCAAAAGAGACAAATCATAGCTTATATAAAGACTCTCAAGCCTTTGAAGGGGAGGACCCTTCTTTATTCTTCTAGTGCTATGTATAAATTATCTCTCCGAACTCTTTCTTACGAAATAGGAATTTTCTGGGGTGGTTTGGATGATGGAATTCGATGAAGCAAATTTGCCCCAGTTGCATTAAAACGAAACAATCAAGTCAAATTGTTTCGTTTGGTAACATATAATATAATAAGGATGTAACAATTTGATTGAGTCAATTTGAATTCGCTCGTTCTACATCATTTTGATTTGGCAGAAAGTGTCAATAATTTTGAAATGATACTTTTCTGACTTTTTTGAGACAATGGGATCAAATTGTCTCATTTAATAAATCCATCATCCAATCAGCCCACCTTGCCTTTCCATAAAATTTTCCTCCTAGTCCCAAAGACCATTTGGTTATGATACTCATAATTCAAACTTTGAGAAAAATACTCATTGGAGTTGGATATCGTAGGATAAACGTGACTTGATCCGATGATACCTAATATTATGAGCACTATAACCGGATTGTCCAAAAAAAATTAAGCAACATATACAGAACTAGAATTAGGACCCACCACCACCTGCTCACCCAAGGTTCATCTTGATTGGAACAATTACTACCTGTTTGTTATATAACAAGCATTAAGTGTACTATTTTGTAATTGAGTGAAAGTTAAGTGACACTTTTCACAATTATTCCATATCTTCTTTGTTTCATAATAACCCAGATCCTCAAACGGTTCGCTAATTCAAAATCCAGAACATCACAGCCCTCCATCTCAGACCCTATCTTCACTTCTTTACCGTCGGATCACCAGTTCACAATTCGTTGATTCACATCTCCCTCTCCTTGTTTCCCCCCGTCTTCTTGAACACTCCCCCCAGTTCAAATCTTTCTTCTCTACTTCTCTCTACTTTCTTTCTCCGCCAGATTCCCACTCTTCCACTTCAGATTTTCCCAGCGCCCAAACACACCTTCAGGCGACCAATCCCCCTCCACCCTCCCAACTCCTCATCGCCCCTACTTCATAATCTTCCCCTTTCTCTCAGCTCGAGACGGAAGCAGGAAAGAGCGCCGGAGAAAACTAGCAAATCCGACTGCCCCGGGCGAAAATGCCGTTCAACTACGAGGCCGCCGCAAGTGCCATCAAGAACCGGTTCGGATTCAATGACCGCTCCACCTCGGAGTCCGTGCCGAGTACTCCGTTGCTGCTGAATTCGGCTGCTCGGGGCGAGTTTACATCCGGCAAGCCTCTGTTTGCCGCTTCCGCAGCTCGGAGGATCGTAGAGTGGGAGGACGATGCCGCTGGCGAAACAAGCGGGCTGGCGACTCAGAGCTCGGAGCTCAGTGACGATTCATCGTTCTGGAAGGACAACAACGTTCAGGTGAGACTGGAGAAACTTGCGATTCTGTAATTTCAGTGGCGTTGGGAATGTATTAGGGGTATTGAATCCGAAGCGATAAATCCGATTGAGCTAGTTCATGACTGAATTGCTGGTAAAAATGTGTTCGGTTGGCTTAGAGAAATCAATTCTTCAGAATTGGGATTTGCATATGGAGCCTAGCGAATTGTGTAATGTAGGTTACTCATTCAAGCGGGAATTGACCTGGAAGTTTGTGTCCTGTGTTTATGCAAAGCATATTTGTTCTCGTATTTGTTAGCCTTAATGTGATTTGGAGTGAACTATAGATAAAATGAAGGAAATAAACGATTGACCACTTCAATTTTGGCAGGTTATCATAAGAATGCGCCCACTAAGTGGCTCTGAAATTTCCCAGCAAGGTCATAAAACTTGTGTCAGGCGAGAGAATCCTCAGGTGATATCATGGACTGGGCCTCCAGAGTCTCGCTATACATTTGATCTTGTTGCGGACGAGACTGTTAGCCAGGTTGCGTGTCTTTCATCTTCTTAGTGGCTCTACTTTTTCAGTGCACCCGCAATTCACTTTACTTTTATATGGTGGCTCAAATTTTGTCTTTGATTGCAGGAACAAATGTTCAAGGTGGCTGGGTTGCCAATGGTTGACAATTGCATGGGAGGGTACAATAGCTGTATGTTTGCATATGGTCAGGTATGCTTATGATTGTTACCTTAGTCCTAGTTTACATTTCAGCTCGCTCCTTGACTAAAGCTGCAGTAACCAGAGGAATTAGTCCAAACGATTTTAACTACTACTTGTTTCAGCAAACATCTTCCACTGCACATACTATTTTATTTGACTAGCTTATCGTTAATTATGAGTTGTACTTCACTGGTTCCAATTTCTGGGTACTGTCTTATTGATGCAGACAGGAAGTGGGAAGACTTACACCATGCTCGGAGACATAGAAGGAGGTACAAGAAGGCACAGTGTCCATTGTGGGATGACACCTAGAGTCTTTGAATACTTGTTCTCTAGAATACAAAAGGTTTGCTTCATCCCATAAATCTTAACCTATCACCATTTTATTTTCTAGTTTGTTTCATCAGTGAAGGTTTGTCTTTTGCTTGGTGTTTACACAGATTTTCGTCATGCACAGGCACTACAAGTGTTGACATCTGCAACATTCCAGAATATGACTAAGTGATTCCTTTTTGTTGTATAGGAAAAAGATGTCCGAAAAGATGGAAAACTGAAGTTTGTTTGCAAATGCTCCTTCTTGGAGATTTACAATGAACAGATTCTTGATCTGTTGGACCCATCATCGAACAATTTACAGGCACGTTAAGCGTACATTGTTATAGCTTCATATTCAGAGTCTTGATATTGAGAAACTTGATTTTCTTTTTTATGAATTCAAGAGCTCTGTTCAGTATGTTGCTGCTGCAGTAATCAGAACTTTCTAATGTTGTTCAAGTTTTCTAGTCTTACAAGTTACAGTGTTTAGACAAACGTTTGCACTTCCTTGATTTGCTTTCACAAACTAATATTGTTCATTGCATATTATAGATAAGAGAAGATGTGAAGAAAGGAGTATATGTCGAGAATTTAAAAGAGGTAGAAGTCACCAGTTCTCGAGATGTAATCCAACAGCTTATTGAGGTACTGTATGATCCATGAAGTTCTTTTCCATTAGCAGCTATAGTCTTCATGCTTAGTGATTGACACTAAAGCGTTCATAGCCTAAAAGCAGTGGTTATGAAGTTAATACTTTGTTTCAATCATTGTCAACGGTTGATCATTTACAAAAACCTATGTCCAGATAATCCATATCCTTCTTGATTTCAAGTTCTTACTGTCTCCGTCGCTTCTGCAATGCTATGTAAATATGGGTGAACAATGCTCTCAAAATTTAATCATTTGTATTTTGTAGCTGACAATTATTCATCTAAACATAGTAAATGTCAGGGATGAGATAGCATGCCTATCCATAAAAGGGTTGGCAAAATGACAACCCCTAACAATTATAGGTTTTTAAAGTAATTAATTTGTGTTGCATTTAATAATCTGTATGAATTAAAAACACATATTAATTACTTCCCTTTTTTCAGTGCACTGGTAGTTGTATCAGTGCACTGGTAGTTGTGTACAGGTGCAATGGTAGATGTATCACTGCAATGGTAGTTCCAAAAAAGGAACGTAATTAATATGAGTTCAGTATACCAGTGCACTGATACAACTACCAGTGCACTGAAAAAGAAAAGTAATTAATATGTGTTTTTAATTCATACAGATTATTAAATGCAACACAAATTAATTACCTTAAAAACCTATAATTAATAGGGGTTGTCATTTTGCCAACCCATACAAGGGTTAGCATGCTAACCGATCCCTAAATGTCAGCCTTACAGCTGTATGTTATGATCCTTAAAAACTTGAGATGGAGATCAGCACTGTTTCTTCAAAACTTGGGATGGAGTTCAGCAATGTTAATGCTCCTTTGTACATTGTTTCTCAGGGTGCAGCAAATAGGAAAGTGGCTGCAACTAATATGAACCATGCAAGTAGTCGTTCCCACAGTGTATTTACATGCATTATTGAAAGCAAGGTTAGTAGATCGCCCTTTGTTAACAGTGAGACCTTATTATCCAAGTATCTTATATATTTTGCATGAGTTTGATCAATGCTAATATTTGAGTTCTTATCAGTGGGAATCACAAGGTGTAACTCACCACCGGTTTGCTCGACTTAACCTAGTTGATTTAGCTGGATCTGAAAGGTATATGTTTTTAATATTGGTAGTATCACATACATTTTTAGCTCAGGAAGTAATTATTAATGCTTCATATGGTTGTGTTCTATATACCCCTAGGCAGAAGAGTTCTGGTGCTGAAGGAGAACGTCTGAAGGAAGCTACAAACATTAACAAGTCCCTTTCCACCTTGGGGTATAGTCTCCCTTTTACCACCCACATTTGTCATGAATGGTTGCAGATTGGCCCTCTGCTCTAGTCAAAGTATCAGTTATTCACAAATCACAAGACTATTATTCACTGATCTCACTTATTGCTTGCAGCCTTGTGATTATGAATCTTGTTAGCATATCCAATGGAAAATCACTGCATGTTCCATACAGAGATTCGAAGTTGACATTTTTGCTTCAGGTAGACACTCTTGCAGTTAATTTACTTCTGGAGTGGCAATGATAGATAAGTTTGTTGTTGCTCTAAAGACATGTTGGTCTTTCTAATTAGCATCTGATGTGAACATTAATTGCCGTTATGAATGGTTGAGAAAAGAATGCGGTATTTTGAATAGCATGAGAAAATCTTTGCTTTTAAACAGATAAATAGCACATAATTACGCGAGACTAGAAAGATAGTTTTATATATTATTTCCATTATGTCTTCCATCAGGAGAACTAT